TTTTTCTTTTTCTTTTTGGGTCTCACCCGGAGATGCTCAGAGGTTACTCCTGGCTCTGCACTCAGGAATTACTCCTGGCAGTGCTCGGGGGACCATATGGGATGCTGGGAATTGAACCTGGGTTGGCTGTGTGCAAGGCAAACACCCTACCTGCTATGCTATCACTCCAGTCCCAAAAAAGACTTTTTTTTTAAATTAAAAAAATCTTTTGAAAGGACCTGGGGCCAGAATGATAGTTTAGGGGGTTAAGGTACCTGCTTTGCCCGTGGTGAAATCTGGTTCGATCCCCAGTACCACATATGGTTCCCTGAGCATTGCCAGAAGTGATTCCTAAGCACAGAGCCAAAAGTAAGCCCGGACCTTATCCAAATAGGGCCCAAACATCCTACCCCCCAACTATTTTAAAAGGACCAGGCTGGGGACAAAGCTGAGCACGTGTTCAGCTTGGGACGAGCTCTGGCACCACAGTTCTTGCCAGGTTGTGTGGGAAGGTGGGCAGTTGGCAGAGGCTGACTATATCTTTTTTTTTTCTTAAATTTATTTATCCTTTGCTTTTTGGCTTACACCTGGCGATGCCCAGGGGTTACTCCTGGCTCTGCACTCAGAAATTACTTCTGGTGGTGCTTGCAGGACCATATGGGATGCTGGGGATTGAACCCAGATTGGCTGCGGGGTTGGCTGTGTGTGAGGCAAATGCTGTATGGCTCCAGCCCCCGTGACTGTCTTCTCGGCGAGTTCCAGCTCTCTGCTTCAAACTCTCACTTTTCAGAGCTCTTGAGCCCCCTAGTATTCTGAAATGATCGAGCATGAAAAGGGCATTTGGAAAAGACGGGGTTGGCATTCTCGATCTTGGCTTGCTGCAGCAAAGGCCTGTTGGTGGCCTGCAGCCCTGTCGGGTCAGTCGATCGGGACTGGCATAGGGATGAAAGATTCCCTCTGCCTGTTCTCTTAGCTTTCTCTCCCCAGCCCGCCCCGCACAGCTTAACATACATGCCAGCCCACAGCCGCGGGGAGACGATTCCTGGATGCTCAGCGTCAGGTCTGCGCAATTGTAGGCAAACGTTGTGGCCTGGGGCAGGCGAGAACAAGTGTTTCCAGGGACAGTGATGTTTGCCCTGGACCTAGAAGGAGGAACTGGAGTCGGAGTGGCCCAAACCGGTGTCCCAGGACGCAGGAACCATGGCTAAGACCGGGCGGCCGGTTTACACCTCTCCAAACTCAGCTCGCGTGTGACGGGCATGAGTGTGGATGGCGGCAGGAGAGGGCTCAGGGCAGTGCGAGGCTGGCGAGGCTGGCAAGGCTTCCTTCCCAGGCCAGGTCTAGGTCCCACGCACACCCACAGGCCGGAGGTGTTGCTTTCCCTGTGGAAGTCAAGAACAGCACCGAAGCAACACAGGGTGTGACCCCAAAACTAAGCACGAGGCTGGGAGAGAATGGCAGGCAGGAAACCCAAGGGTCTTGAGACAGGGACGGAAGTCAGGCATCCTGCATGTCAGACGTCTCTGTCTCTGTCTCCAGCAGAGACACCACTCTTGGTCAGGATGGTGGCTGTGCAGAGAGTGGGTAAGAGGAGCAACCCGGATTGAGACCAGCTCAGTCGTCACTAGGTGGTGGGCACCGCAAAGGCTTGGGGCTTTGAGAACGAGGGACGCGGGTAGCAGAAGGGCCAGGGCCAGGGATTACTCCAGTGATGCCAGGAGTGGCGAACACCAGCGCCTGGAGTTATGGAGGGTGAGAAATACTCCCTGCTCCCGTTGTGTCTGGACAAATTTGAAACCTGGGAGTTAAAAGATTGTTTTTTGAAAATTTTTAGTTATTTACTTTTTAAAAGACTGTTTCCAAGAACATTCTTCCGCCTTTCAGCTAGAAGCAGCCAATACACAAAGGCACTTCCCTTTATGTGTTTAAGTTTGTGTGTCTGTGAATGTGGGCGCGTTCCCCCCCGCCTGAAGTTCTTTGCTGAAATCACATCTACCTGCATATTTTCCAATGGCCATCTCCCGAGTTCCTTTGTGTTGTGTTCTCTTTACCCTTTTTCTTTTTCCTTCCTCCCCCACCTCTTTTTTATTCAAAAAGAGTTTTTTTTTGGGTCACACCCGGCTATGCACAGGGGTTACTCCTGGCTCTACACTCAGGAATTACCCCTGGCGGTGCTCAGGGGACCATAAGGGATGCTGGGAATCGAACCCGGGTTGGCCATGTGCAAGGAAAACACCCTACCCACTGTGCTATCGCTCCAGCCTCCAAATAAGGAGATTCTTGTGTCTAATCACAACACTATTATCTCACTGAAGAAATTTAACACCAGTATGATTCCGTACCCTAAGGATTGTGCAATGTATTTAGATGTCACTGCTCTTTCAACCAGCGATAGGTTATTTAAAAGGGAACTAAGATAAACACGAGGACTAATGTAATTGGTTCTACTCGTTCCTGCATAAATACTATTTTTATAATTATGATGGCAAGCTTACAGAAAAGTTGCAAAGATATTACCAAAATAGTAATTCTTTTCACTCTGAGTCAATAGTTGGTTATAGTGAGATTCATGGGATTTTTCTCATTTACAAATTTGTGTATTTTCTTAAAGAAATTTGAAAGTGCATTGACTCTTCTCCCCTAAATGCTACCTGGGGGGTTTCTATTGTTTTGGTTTTGGGCACTGCTCAGGGGCTATAGCCCCGACTAAGTACAGAGGCTCAGGGGACAATCTGCCCACCAGGACTGAACCCAGGGCTCCTGAAAGCTGTTGCTTCAGCTCTTTGAGTCACCTCCTGGCTGGTTCCTTTTGGTGGGCCCACACCTTGTGGGGACTCTGTCGTGGACAGTACGAATCTGGGCTTCTATCGTCTTTTAAAGCTTGTTTTTCAGAGCTGGAAAGATAGTGTAATGGGCAGGGCACTTGATTTGCATGCTGCTGACCCAGGTTCAATCCCCAACATCTCATATGGTCCTTGAGCAGAGAACCAGGAGGAAGCACTGCCGGGTGTAGCTGCAAAAGAAAAAAAGTTTTGTTTTTTTTTTTGCTTTTTGGGTCACACCTGGTGATGCACAAGGGTTACTCCTGGTTCAGCCCTCAGGAATTACTCTTGGTGGTACTCGGGGGACCATATGGGATGCTGGGAATCGAAGCTGGGTCGGCTGTGTGCAAGGCAAATGCCCTACCTATTGTGCTACTGCTCCAGCCCAAAAGAAAAAAATGTTAAAAAAGGAGTTTGTCCTCTAGTTCTCTGAGCTATCTCCCCAGCCCTCAGGGTGAATTTATTTGGAGAGAGAGTTTGGTGACTCTGTATTCAGGGCACTTCTAGCTCCATACTTAGGAATTTGTCCCCATGGTGCTCAGGGGACGGAAGGTGGTACCTAGGATTGAGCCAAGATTGTCCGCACACAAGGCAAATGCCTTAACCCCTGTATCTTTGGCCTCCAGGGTGAAATTTTTAAGGACCTTGTCTTTAATCTAATGGAAGACTGCCCAATGTGTGTGTGTGTGTGTGTGTGTATTTCACAATAGTGGCCTTTTTGAAGAGTTCGGCTAGTTGTTTTGAAGAATGTGCCTCAATCTGGATTTCTGTTATTTTCCATGAGACTCAAGGCAAACACGTTTGAATACTCCAGAAGTGATGATATGTTCTTCTCAGTGCCAAATCTTGGCAGTCATATGTTTTGAAGGTAAGTGGCACTTGGTGACACTGGGTGCAGATTTTGGCTGCATAACTTGTCGGATTGGCAAGATAGTTACTGAGACGTTTTCATCAACTGTTAAATGAGGGGGATAATAATCCTGGTTTCATGAAGTTACTGAATTGATACTGTGGCACATTTAGAGGAGGGTTTGACACATTGTATATATTCAACAAATCATTATTACCATCACTATTTTTTTAACCAATTTTTCAAGAAGCATTTGACAGGCACCGGACTGAACCAGGACCTCAGGTCTGCAAAGCAACCTCCCTAGCACACGGCTGCCTCCCCAGCACCCTTAGTGCTCAATACTTAATACCTCCAGCACCTGGGGCAATGAATGGGACACAAAATCACTTAAGAACCATTGGTGGCCATTGAGACAGTCTTTCAATTGTGGTTAACACTGCACCATTTCCAGATGAGATCTCAGAGAAGTAGTTTACCTCAGGTCACATATTTTTGGGTAAGTGCCCAAAATTTGTTTTATTGTTTTTTGGGGGGGCCTCGCCATACTCAAGAACTGGGGGATGGGGTGGGTACTGCTGACAGTACTTGACCCAGTCTGCCCAAACCATTGTTGCGGTGCCCTTGGGGTCCAGAGGAGCTGGGGGTGGGGGAGGCAGTCTCATGCTCTCATGCTCTCACAGGCTCTGCTCGGCCACCCTTGATGCCGTCGCCCAGGTCCAAGAGCACAGGCTGGAACCCACTACCCTTATTAATGGGTTTGTAAGATGGGGTGGAGCGTGAAGGAAGCTGATGTGTCCTTGGGGCAATGTAGAGAAAGAGCTGATGGGGGCAGAGAGACGCGTAGCACGGTAAGGCACTGGCTTTGCACACGGCCCACCCGGGTTCCATCCCCGGGTCTCACACATCCTTTCTGGAGCCCCGAAGGCGGTGAGCACTGAGCCAAGAGTAAGCCCTGAGCACCACTGGGCTCTCAGTGCGCTGGAGCACTGGATGAGAGCAGAACATTTTTCTCATCTTCCAAAACCCCGGGAGATAGCTGGGACAGGAGCTAGAAACTGGAGCGCATGCAGGACCTCCCCACCTCTCCCTACACCCAGCCCCCATGCACCCCGGGGAATAGACCCCCAAAGAAAGAGCAAGCGAGAGGCCTACCGTGCCCCGGGAGGGCCAGGACCACGCCGAAGGGAGCGCGCATCTCCGCGGCCCGGAGGTCACGTGCCCAGACGGGGGCGGGACCTGCTCTTGCCCCGCCCCGCCGAAGGCCCCGCCCCTCTTAAGGAGACCGCGCCCATCGAGGCCACGCCCCTTGCGCGGCCGCGGAGTTTTGGCTCCGCCGCGCCGCCGTAGCCGCGGTCTTCTCGGGCGTCCGCCGCCGGGAGACCCGGGCCGGCGCAGCGATGTCGGGGAAGGAGGCGGGCGGGAGCGCGGACGGCGCGCGGGGCGGCCAGGTGACTGTCGCCGACGTGCAGGAGCTGATCCGGCGCAAAGAGGAGCTCGAGGAGCAGATCCGAGCCAACTTCGCGGTGCTGGACGGCGTGAGTGGGCCGGGGCGGGCGGCGCGCGGCGGGGCACCCGGGAGCGTCCTGCGGGGAGTGACGCAGCCGACAGACAAAAAGTTGGGGGGCCGGGCGCTGGGGGTCCCTGCCGAACTCCGTGTCTCCGCCGCGCGGGGCCGCTCCTCGCGCCGCCGGGGGGCGGGAACGCGGCCCCGAGTGCGCCGACGCCCGTCCGCGGTCTCGTCGGGCGGCCCCACCCCCGCGTGACCCGGAAGCAGTTGAGTCTCCTTCCGCGCTTGGGGTTCGCGACGTCCAGACCGCCGCGGGGGACCCGACGTGCCAGGAGGGGGCCCTCGCCCGAGAGCCAGGGGGCCCGTGCGTGGGGCCGGAGAATCCCTGGACTTTCCCATCCGTCTGGCTTCCTGTCCTGTTGCGCCCCGGATGCTTTTTGTCAGGCTCCGGGGTTCCTGCACGCTTGGGAGATGCCCACCACCAGCAGCAGGCCAGGTGTCGCTTGCTAGTGAGAGTGGAGAGAACCTGGAGGAAGCTCCCGAATCAAATAAATAAAAGCCTTTTGTCGTTGTGTCTGTTTTGGGGTCAGACGCAGTGGGACTCAGGGCTCACTTCCAGGACAGTGCTCAGGGGTCTACGGAGCGACGGAATAAATCGGGGTGCCTGCACGCAAAACCTCTGCCCCCCCCTAAGCTATCTCTCTCCTGCCCCTGGCATCAACAGGGCCTGTACCATGGCCCCCGCTTTTCATTTATTTTTTGCTTTTTGGGTCACACCCGGCGATTTACAGGAGTTCCTCACTCAGGAATTCCGCACTCAGGAATTCCTCCTGGTGGTGCTCAGGGGACCATATGGGATGCTGGGAATCGAACCACCCGGATTGGCCGCATGCAAGAGAAGTGCCCTACCCGCTGTGCTCTCACTCCAGCCCCTTCTGGCCGTTTTTAATGTGCCACACTCTGTCTGCTCTGATGGTCCCGGGGCAGCCTTGGAGGACCTCAGTCCCGGGGCGCGGGGCGCAGGTGCGGCTGCCCGCCAGACTCGCACACGGCAGCCAAAGCAAAAGGGGGTGGTGGGCATCAGCAAGGTGTGGCCAGGGGCCAAGGGTGTTGCAGTGGCGTGAGGGGGTTCTGGGGACGAGGAACTGGTGCGGATGACGCTTGGGGCCAGCTGCAGGGGCTGGTCTGCAGGCGACCAGCTGATCGGGCTGCAGCTGGAGGGTCAGTATAGCCTCCAGGGTTTCAAGCGCTGGAAGAAACAGGTTCGGAACAAAGGGATAGTACAGCGGGGAGGGCACCTGCCTTGCATGTGGCCGACCAGGGTTCAATTCCTGGAATCCCATATGGTCCCCCAAGCCCCACCAGGAGTGGTTTTTGAGTAAGCCCTTGAGCACCACTGGGTATAGCACCCCCTACCCCCAAACAGAAACGAAGAAAGAAAACAGCTTCCTGTGTGAGTTTGGCTCCCAGGCAGAGGAGGAGCAGCGCCAGCTCTGGGTTGGCCCCCCCCCCCCCAGTTGTGGTGGCATGGGGCAGGGGCCCGGGCAGCGCTCTGGGGACCCCAGGCTGGGCTGTCTTCTAACCAAGCCTCCTCCCTCCAGCAAAAGGGCGTTGGAATGAACGAGCCGCTGGTGGACTGTGAGGGCTACCCCCGCGCTGACGTGGACCTCTATCAAGTCCGAACTGCGAGGCACAACATTATCTGTGAGTGGCCCTGACTGGGGGCGGGGGGGTGTTGCCACCACAGCCCTGTGCCCCCGGCTGCCCTCCTGCCCTACCCTGACCTGCCCCGCCCCTCGTGGCCCGTATCAGTGGCCAAAAACAGTGGTCACGGCCTCCATCTGGGGCTCTCTAGCTTCCCTTGTAGTTTTGTTTTTGTGCCACATCTGGCAGTGCTCAGGGGTTACTCCTGGCTCTGCGCTCAGGAATTAGTCCTGGTGGCGCTCAGGGGACCCTCTGGGATGTGGGGGATCGAACCCGGGTTGGCTGTGTGTAAGACAAACGCCCTACCCGCTGTACTATCACTCCAGCCCTCTCCTTTTTTCTTTTTTCTTTTTTTCTTCGTTTTTTTTGGGCCACATCTAGCTGTACTCGGGGGTTATCCAGGGGGTGCTTGGGGGAACCGTATGAGGTGCGGGGGGTCGAACCCGGGTCAACTGCATGCACGGCGGTGCCCTATTTGTACTATCGTCCAGCCCCTACCTTGCATTTTGTTCTGAAGAATTTTTTCTCTTTGTGGAGAACCGATTGTCACGACAGTCCAGTTGGTTGGTCACGCACTCAGCTGGACGTGGCAAAAGCCATGTGCAGCAAGTGGATGGCGTCCCTGCCACATAGCACACAGCGTGCTCCTCTCCTCAGTGAGGGCAGCGGAGGGGTGCGGCCCGTGGCCACCAAAGGCCCGAGTCTGCTCGCTCTCTCCTGGGCTTCCATACTTCTAACGAGGGTCAAGGTCCTGGGGGCCGGGTGCTGCCCGACAGTCTAAGGGTCTCCAAATCACAGGTGGTCACAGGACACTCAGAAACATTGTTTTTTTTTTCTTTTTTGCCTTTTTGGGTCACACCCCGTGATGCTCAGGGGTTACTCCTGGCTGTGCACTCAGGAATTACCCCTGGCGGTGCTTGGGGGACCATATGGGATGCTGGGAACCAAACCTGGTTCGTCCACATGCAAGGCAAACGCCCTACTCACTGTGCTATAGCTCCAGCCCCTGCCTTTTTTTTTTTTTTTTTTAAGATTTGTGAAAAAGATGGGTGGAGCGATAGCAGGGAGGGCGTTTGCCTTGCACACAGCCAATCCGGGTTCAATCTTCGGCATCCCATAGGGTCTCCCAAGCACCACCAGGAGTAATTCCTGAGTGCAGAGTCAGGAGTAACCCTTGAACATCACTGGGTATGACCCAAAAAGCAAAAAAAAAAAAAAAAGATTTGGGAAAAGAATCCAGTGGTTTCTACCCCAAAAACACATTGTCAGTGGGAAATGGACTCTGATGGAAGGATGGGTGTTGGGTCATTGTGTGACTGAAACCCAACCATGAGTAGCTTTGTGAAAAATAAAAATGAACAAACATTTTGTTAGATAGAGTAGGGGAAGCAATGACTGACCAGCCAGCCCTGTGGGGGACTTGGGGCTTTGGGCAAACCCTTTTGACTTCCCAGGGACCCCAATCCCTTGGTTTGGGGGAACCTGGGAAGTTGTTTTCCCAGGTGTTACTAAGCGCCTCCCAGCATCTCTGGATCGGAGGAGGCTTCACTCTGTTGACTGATGGACCCCTCTGGGGGAGACAGGGGTGCCCGGCTGTGCTCAGTATCAGGATGAACCCAGGGACCCCTCGCATGAAGCAGTCGTGCCACCGCCCTTGGAGCTTCCGCCGTTCTTGCCTTGTTCCATGACTTAAGAGCCCGAGAGTCCCTTACTGGCTCCTGGAGAACTTTCCCATAGGGTTATTTATTTTTTGCTTTTTGGGTCACACCCAGCGATGCTCAGGGATTCCTCCTGGCTCTGCACTCAGGAATCACTCCTGATGGTACTCAGGGGACCCTATGGGATGCTGGGGATTGAACCCGGGTCGGCCGCGTGCAAGGCAAATGCCCTACCCGCTGTCCCATCGCTCTGGCCCCTCATAGTGTTATTTCTATCATTCATTTTGGCCTTTGGAACTTCGCTGACTGCTGAGGGGTTTCTGCCGATTCTGTGCTCGGGGAACTATATGCCAAGCTGGGAATCGAACCTGGGCCTCCCGCATGCCTGACGAGTGGACTGTTGCCTCCAGGCCTTGTACTACTCCAGCCCCTGGATTTTAGTTTTTCGAATTCAACTTTGGATTCATTAAAAAATTGGGAAAATAGTGGGTCCCAAATACTCTCTACTCAGTTTCACTTATTAACATCTTACATTTGTTACAATTTTTTAAAAATTTCTGGAGGCTGGAGCGATAGCACAGCGGGTAGGGCATTTGCCTTGCACGCAGCCAACCCGAGTTCGATTCTCAGCATCCCATATGGTCCCCTGAGCACCGCCAGGAGTAACTCCTGAGTGCAGAGCCAGAAGTAACCCCTGTGCATCGCTGGGTGTGACCCAAAAAGCAAAAATAAATAGAATAAAAATTTCTGGGTTTTGAACCACACCCGGAAGTGCTCAGGGCTTACTCCTGGCTCTGTGCACAGGGATCACTTCAAGGGACTTGAAGTGCCGGGGTTCAAACTCTGGTTGGCCATTTGTAAGGCAGGCTCCCTACCCACTGAACTGTCTCCTCTCTGGCACAGGGCAGTGGTGAGAGGGTTCTTTTTTGTTGTTTTTTTTTTTTTTCTTTTTGGGTCACACCTGGCAATGCACAGAGGTTACTCCTAGCTCTGCACCCAGGTGGTGGTGCTCAGGAGACCATATGGGATGCTGGGAATCGAACCCGGGTTGGCCGCATGCAAGGCAAATGCCCTATCCTACCTACTGTGCTATCTCTCCAGCCCCCAAGAGGGTTGTTTTTAAAATGTCTTTGGAGGGCCGGAGCACATTATAGCGGGAAGGGTGTTTGCCTTGCACGTGACCTACCTGGGTTCGATCCCTGGCATCCCATAGGGTCCCCCATGTACTGCCAGGAGTAATTCCTTATGTGCAGAGCCAGGAGTAGCCCAGAGCATCACCGGGTGTGACCCAAAAAGCCCAAACAAATACAACGTCTTTGGGCCTATTTTTTCCGAGGAGAGGTAGCTGCTTTTTGGATTCTGGTTAGAGTTGTGACGCATCATAAATTGGGTCCCTGACTTTCTTTCCCTGACCATCAAGCCTGGCAGGGTTGATTGCTTCCCTGCCTTACAGGTGTGCTGAAAGTTCTGGGGTCCTCACTTTATTTTGGGGCTGCCTTCCGAGTCAGAGGAGCCGCGTCTGCCACACGGACCCCGTCCAGACTTCCTGCATGCACCGGCTCTCTGCATGCTCGAATCTGTGGCCTCCGGGTGTGGCGTGTCCGTGTCCCCCAAAGCTAAGGCCGAGGCAGCCGGTCAGCCAGCAGTGCCCACAGAGGAGCCCCGCTCCAGGCCTGGCTCCAGGAAAGCTCAGGCCTTCTGCAGCAGAGGGAGTTCCTCAGAGGTTGAATGGAAGTTTCCAGAATGCCAGCCCTCCTGCAGCCTGCAAAGTTGCTGTGTCCCATGGCCTGGCATCTGGCTTCAGCCTGCAGAGCCCTGAGTGGTCATCTTGAGGGAATCCTTTGCTGGGTTTCACCTCAGATCTTCTCGACAACCCCCCCCACCTCCCGCCTGGGCTGCCCCCGCTCCCATCACGGATGCCTGCTGCATGTGGGGGCCCCGCTCCTCCCCCTCGCTCTCTTCCTGGACTTCTGTGGGCTTCTGCCGGTCCCGCTGGTGTTGGCTGAAAGGCCAGGGCCTGAGAGCGCCTTCCCCGCCCTGACCGTGCCTCCCCACAGGTTTGCAGAACGACCACCAGGCGGTGATGAAGCAGGTGGAGGAGGCCCTGCACCAGCTGCACGCGCGCGACAAGGAGAAGCAGGCCCGGGACCTGGCGGAGGCCCAGCAGGAGGCCGCGAGCGCCGGCCTGGCCCCGGGCCCCGGGCCCCACACCCCGCAGGCCTTCGCCAAAGTGGGCAGCGTCAGTGCGGGCTCCCCCGCCAGCAAGGCCGTAAGCCCACGCCCTAACCTTGCTTGGTAGGCTGGCGGGGGCCCAGGGCTTTTGCTGTCTGCTTACAGGACACGGTGGGAAGTGCCCCCGGGGAGGGCACTCAGCTCCCTGCGGGCACTGCATCAGGAGTCTCTGCCCTGGTGGCCGCCTGATGGCCTTCCTGGCCTTGCTTAGGGGACCTGGGCCCCCCTGTCTGTAGTGGCCTGGCCCCTCACTGGCCAGCTCCGCAGGCGCGCCTGCCCCGCCCACTCTACGTTCTTCCCCTGTGCCTGGTGTGGCCACCTGTCCCGGTTGTGGGGTGCACAGGCCCTCCCATTCCTCCAGGCCTCTGCATCCGGTGTCCTGCTTCCTGCCATCAGTGGCCATGGCCACTGTCCCCTCAGCTGATACGGGAGGTCCTGGCTGCCCTCGGGGGCCCACTGGGATGGGTCAGTACTCGGAGCAGTGCTGCTTAGGACTACCAGGGATGGAGCTCGGCCCCCTGCACCACCTCCTGGCCCCAGAGAGCCACTCTGAGCGGCTGTCGAGGGGGCAGCAGCCAGCGCCCCCTCAGCTGCCTATGCCCTCTCTGCTCTCTGCAGGGCCTGCAGGTGGGTGACGAGATTGTGGAGTTTGGCTCCGTCAACACACAGAACTTCCAGTCGCTGCAGAACATCGGGACCGTCGTGCAGCACAGCGAGGGGGTACGTGGGGCTCTGGAGTGTCCCTGGGCGCGCTCTCCTCTCTCTGTCCTTGCACTCTCCTCCTCCCTCAGTCTGGACAGGTGGCGTTGTCTTGGGGAGGCCCCTCTCCCCCCTTCTCCGCGCTCACTGCTTCCTCTTCCTTCTTCGCTTCACAGTGTCTCCTGGAGGAGTTCCACTGGGCATGGCCATACCTTTAACACTGCTGCGTAGTACTCCAAGTGGACAGGATACACCATGTCCACCAACTGTCCAGGGACAGTTCCATTTCCAGTTTTTTGTTTTGGGGCCATACTCAGTGGTGCCCAGGACTTCCTCCTGACTCTGCACTCAGTGATCACCCCTAGTGGGACTCAGGGAACGGTACAGGGTGCTGAGGAGCTAACCCAGCCTGACTGTGTGTGAGGCCAACGCCCTCCCTGCCGTGTTACCGCTCTGGGCCCTGGTCGCTTCAGCTTCATGCCAGTGTGCCTCGTGCACCATATGTGGTGGGCATGGTGACCAGTGCATGGAGCCCGCCCCAGCACTGCTCTGTGATGGCACTTTTTGCTCTGTCCATCTCAGCACTGCTGGGGACAGGTTCCGGCAGTACTGCACAGAGCATGCCCCAGCCCATCAAACTGGCTCCCTGTCTGTCTGTCTGTCTGTCTGTCTGTCTCTCTCTGTCTCTCTCTCTCTCTCTCTCTCTCTCCTCTGTTGGTTGAGGTCTGACTCCCTTGGCTTCACCTGTTTACAGTGTGGGACTCAGGGCTCAGTCCCTGAATGGAGTCATGTGTCCATCACCACGGCTTTAGGACACTGCATCATCTCAGGAAGGAGCTTGGTGGGCAGAGAGATAGTAGAATGGGCAGGGCACTTGTCTTGAACACAGACAACCTGGGTTTGGTCCCCAGCATCCCATATGGTCCCTGAGCCCCGCCAGGAGTGATTCCTGAATGCAGAGCTGGGTTGGTGATCCCCCCCCCCCAAAAAAAAAAACAAAGAAAAACCAAAAACAAACTCATAGGCTGGAGAGAGGCCAGCAGGTGGGGCTCTTGCCTAGCATGTGGCCAACCTGGGTTTGATCCCTGGCACCACATCGGTCCCTCGATCATGGCCAGGTGTGGCTCTAAAGCCCCCAAAATTCAAAGAACCTAGGGTTCCCTGGTGAGTGGGTGGAACCCCACTCTGTGCATCCATGCCCAGTGAGGGGCACTCGGACATTTAGACTGCTTCCAGTTTGATCAGTATAATAGTTGCTGGGGTTTTTTTTGTTTTGTTTTGTTTTTGCTTTTTGGGTCACACCCGGCAATGCACAGGGGTTACTCCTGGCTCTGCACTCAGGAGTTACTCCTGGCGGTACTCAGGGGACCCTATATGGGATGCTGGGAATCGAACTTGGGTCGGCCGCGTGCAAGGCAAATACCCTACCCGCTATCGCTCCAGCCCCAGTTGCTGGTTTTTAATCTACTTTTTTCTAATTAAATATTCCAAAGACTCTATAGGTCTGTTGGGGTCTCCTCCTGGTCTGGGCCGATCTACCCTTCCCGTAAAGAGAGGGGTCGGGGGGAAGAGCATCTCCCCATGCCACCGCCATCTCCGAGAAATGAGCACACGAGCATGGCGGGGGCCCGTCAAGCAGTTCTGCTTTATTGAGCGACAGCGAGGCTTTGTAGAGGTTGAGGAGGGTGGTGGGAGAGTGTGGCTGGTCACATACACAGGGTGCCAGAGCGAGCCTGTCTGTTTCCCGCTGCAGATCTATAGATAGTATTGCATTGTTTCATCACAGTTCTATAGATAGGGGTACATTTCTGTCACCTGCACATCGCCAGATACATCCTGTCCCCTAGTAGTGTGGAGCTATGATACACATTGCCACAGGCTTCACTTCAAAGCAGATCGAAAGGGGCTTTTCTCCCAACATAGGTCTGGAAATCCTTTGAAACAAAAGTAGTCTCTCGCCGTTTTTTTTTTTTATTTGGGGTTTGTTTTGTTTGGGGGCACGCCTGGTGATGCTCAGGGGTTACTCCTGGCTGTGCACTCAGGAATTACTCCTGGTGATGCTCGGGGGACCATATGGGATGCCGGGAATTGAACCTGGGTCATGCAAGGCAAGTGCCTTACCTGCTGTTCTGTTGCTCAACCCAGTTTTATTATTTTTGTTTGTTGATTCTGTTTTGGGGCCGCGCACAGCAGTGCTCAGGGCTTAGTCCCGGGTCTGTGCTTAGGCCTGAACCCAGCTTGAAAACAAAGCAACACATGATTCGGGTCTTTCTGGATTCAAGCCAGCTTGTATTCTGCTGGTTTTGGTGGTTTTCAGTGAAACTGCTTCATGCTCTGTAGTACCACAATCACGACCATCCTGTTGTTCGTCGATTGCCTCGAGCAGGCCCCAGTAACGTCTCCTTCGTCCTAGCCCTGAGATTTTTTTTTTTTTAAAGTGCCATATTCAAGGCTCTTTCAGGGTTAGGAGAATGAGACCCATCATTGTTACTGGTATTTGGCATATTGGGTATACCACGGGGAGTTTGCCAGACTCTGCCGTGTGGGCAGGATACATTCGGTAGCCTGCCAGTTTGTCCAAAGTAGGAATGAGATGATAAGATGTCCAGGAGCTGAGTGTGATAATCTCTGGATCCTGGCCGTTGTTGGGGTTACACGGCAGTTGGTGGGTGTAACTGTCTAGCTACTGGCAGGTCCAGTCCCAAACCGTGCAGGCTTAGAGATCTCAGCCCCGGGTCCCACACACCTGGGTTCCTCTGCCAGTTCTTTTATGCGTGAGGCTCATCCAAGTGTGTGGAGAGTGGTCCCAGCATGGCCTTGGCTGGGGCCCGGAGGTCTTCAGCTGTTGGGCCCTGGTGAAGACAGTCAGGCACAGGGTAGAAGACTCTGCCTTGTTCTCTCCCGGGAGCTGAGTATATCTGTAGTATATCTGACCAATATTTCCTGAAGATATTTCGCGTGTTTCAACCTTGGATTTCAGTTCTGGGATGGACATTAATTCCTGGGCAGAATGTGTCTCTTGGGCACCTTTCGGAGATCCGCGAGGTGAAGTTTTCCCAGGAATACGGTACCAATTGGTAGCTCCACTGGGCACCCCAGGAGTGTCCGCTGCCTCCCCACCCAATTTGAGTATTTTGTTTAAAATAAGTACTAGGGGGCTGGAGTGATAGCACAGTGGGTAGGGCGTTTGCATTGCATGTGGCCAACCCCGCGTTCGATTCCCAGCATCCCATATGGTTTCCCGAGGACTGCCAGGAGTAATTCCTGAGTGCAGAGCCAGGAGTAACCCCTCGCATTAACGGGTGTGACCGAAAAAGAAAAATAATAGATAGATAGATAGATAGATAGATAGATAAAACAAGGATCCCTGGGGCCAGAGAGACAGTAAGGTAGAAAGGTGTTTGCCTCGCATGCAGCCGACCTGCGTTCAATCCCCAGCACCCCACATGTTCCCCTGTGCCCTGTCTGAGCATCGCCGGGTGTGGCCGCAAAACGAGCAACAACAAAAATCTCCTTTGCCAATGTGGGTGAGAACGAATGTGAGCGTTTGTGTCGGAAGCTCTTTGAGCCAAGCGGACTAAAGTCGCGTCTTTTCCTTGCAGCGGCCCTTGAATGTGACGGTGCTTCGCAGCGGGCAGCGGCACCAGCTCCGACTCGTCCCAGAGCGCTGGGCAGGAAGGGGTCTGCTGGGGTAAGGCACCCTGTCCCTGGCTTCTCCCGGCAGTGACCGGGCTGGGGAAGGGAGTCAGGAGCCCTGGTCTGGAGAGTCCGGCAGGGCCGAAACATCGCCCTCTGGTGGTCGTGAACGGAGCCGCATGCTCATCCTCTTGCTTTCCTTCCAGCTTCAACATCATCCCTTTGCAAAGATGACTGTCCCTGGGGACCCGCGGAAAAGCATCTTGCTCTGCTCTGGCTGGGGACTAGCAGTGGTTTCCCGGCTTCTCTTCTCTGCCCGGAGCAGTGGGAAGCCCAAACTCCAGCCTCCTCGCAGCCTCTCAGGGTAGAGGCATTGTCCCAAACCTGGTTTGTGTTGGCGCAGCGGGCCCGCAAAGCCTGGACTGAGGGTGTGTGGGCAGGACTGATTCTGCCAGCGACAATAGGACTGTATTATTGCAGGATCCGCCAAATAAAGAAGAGTTTTCAAGTGCTGCTATGATGAGACTTTCTTAGAAACTTCTCAAGCCAAAGCCCAGAGCAGCTGGGCAGAACCACAGCTGTTCGGCCTCCGGACTGCGGGCCCACAGGCGTCTGCCTCCGCGGCGATCATGGCGACGTGCAGACGCCTCTGTGTGCAGAAAGGGCTCCCTGGTGTGGGTGCCCTCAGAATTTGGCCTTCTGAGAGAAGGGGGGGAAGCCGGGGGGCTCCCCAGCTGCAGCCAGCGTCCTGCCCTGCACCCCTACTCTTTGTTTGGGGGCCACACCCAACGGTGTTCAGGGCTTACCCTTGGCTCTGCACTCAGGGTGCACTCCTGGTAGGACTCGGGTACCTTGTGGGGTTCTGGGATTGAACCTGGGTTATCCAGTGCAAGGCAAGTGCTCTGCCCCGCTATACTACTGCTCTGGCCCACACCAGCTCTGTTCTGTGCTTGGCAGTGCCACGGGCACGAGCACTGTGTGCAGAGCTCACCTCGGGTATGCCAGTGCTTCCTACTGTGGGTCTTCGGGTCTGGGTGACTGACTCACTCCTGTCTCCTGTGTCGAGTCTTTGCCCCTACCGAGTTTGTGGGCCTTGGGCTCCAGGAGGTGACCGGAACAGCTGAGCTCCACGCAGATCCCAGCCTGCCCTGAAGGGGGCAGCCCCATGTACCCCCCTCCCCACCCAGCCCCCCAGTCGCCACACACCTGCCATGTTTCCCGGCGCTCGTTCTTTAAATCATGTGCCCTAATTCCGAGGGGTTTCAGGGTGGTCGGCCCTAGAGTATAACCAAGGCAGCATGTACCAGGTATGCAGTGTATTCTCTTTGTGGGGTGTGTCACCTGCATCTAAAATCACCACTGGGACGCTGGGGTGTGACCACCCACCTGTGGTGGCAGCTGAGAGCTGGGAGTGTAGCTCAGCAGGGGAGCCGTCACCTGCATGTGGATTTGATGCCAGAATAGGCGAACGCCAGGCGCCAGGCACCGTGGCCCTGGCCTCGGGGGGAGCTGCAGGACGCTGGAGGGGCGCGGGTGGGCTGGAGCCAGTGCGGGGAGCAGCCGGCCGGTTCCTGCACCCTAAGCAGGGTGCTGAGTCCCTGCGTTCCCGAGGCCGGACGCGCAGTTTTCCCCGTCGCTTTCCCTGAGGGCCTGAGCATGCAGAAAGCCCTGAGTAAGGCGGAGAGTAATGCGGAGTAATGCGAGTAACCTCGAGTAACGCGGCCCTGCGGCTCCCCGAGGCGCCGGCAGGGGGCGTGCCAGTCCTGCCGGTCACCCGGCTCCTTTCCGGCCTGTCGCGGCTGGGTCACCATGGGGACAGGGTGCGTGGGTAGCAACCGTTACTAGGGGGCCAGTGGAAGAGAAAGTGGCCGCCAGAGGCTCCGGCAAGTGGCCCAGGGGACCAGGCGTCCAGGCGGCCTAGGCAGCTGTGAGTCGGGTCCCCCCTGGGCAGGACTCTGCTGGCGGGGGCTGCCCCGGCGGGGCCGGGGGCGTCCCGGGGAGACCTAAGCCAGCCACAGACCCCCACCCCGCCTGTCCCTGAGGCCCTGGGGCCAGTGTGGGGCCAGGAAGGAAGCCCGAGGCTTGTCACCTTGTCGCAGCGCGAGCGGCTGCTGCTGTGTTGCTCCGTTGACTGTGCCCGAGATGTGCCCAGAGTGCCCAGTATTCTGGGGGTATTGGGGCTGGAGCGGTAGCACAGCGGGTAGGGCGTTTGCCTTGCACGCGGCTGACCCGGGTTCGATTCCCAGCATCCCATATGGTTCCCTGAGCACTGCCAGGGGTAATTCCTGAGTCCAGAGCCAGGTGTAACCCCTGTGCATTGCCAGGTGTGATCCCCCCCAAAAAAAGCAAAAAAAGGGGCTGGAGTGATAGCACAGCGGATAGGGCATTTGCCTTGCACGCAGCCAACATAGCCGACACAGGTTCGATACCCAGCACCCCATATGGTCCCCTGAGCACCGCCAGGAGCAATTCCTGAGTGCATGAGCCAGGAGTAACCCCTGAGCATCGCCGGGTGTGACCCAAAAAGCAAAAAAAAAAAAAAAGCAAAAAAATATTCTGGGGGTATCTCTTACTCACTGGGGGGTACCCTGGCAGGCGCCACACGGTCCCCCTCTCCCCGCCAAGGCCCTGGGCACCGCGAGACTCTGAACGATCAGAATGAGTCAGAGGCTGAGTTCCGAGCTGGCCAGGGCCCAGGAGCTGGACCTTCAGGTGTGGGCACCAGTTCCCCCGGGAACAGCGTGCCTCGACCTCTCCCCGCTAGACCCACGAAGGCTGCCCCAAGGTGGGCCCACTGACCACTCTGCTCCACGTTCCCCAGAGCCGGCCAGATGTCGGAGGAAGAGGAAGTCCCACCCGAGGGCTCAGAAGCTGGAGAAACGGAAATAGAAGAAGGGGAAGAATATTCCGACCGTGAAGAGGGTGGAAGCAGGCAAAAGGAAGCCAGGGAAGACTACAGTCTAGCTCGGACAGAATCTCAGGAAGACGGGGCGACGGGGTGGGGAGGGGAGAGGAAGGAAGTGAAATGGGAGGAAGAGGAAGGAGAGGAGAAGGAGGAAGAGGAAGGGAAGGGAGAGGAAGGAGTGAAGGAAGAAGGGAAGGAAGGGGAGGAGGTGGAAGGTGAGGAGGAAGAGGAGGAGGAAGAAGTAGAAGAAGAGGAGGAAGAGGAGGAGGAAGGGGAAGAGGAAGGGGAGGAGGAAGAGGAAATAGAGGAGGAAGAGGAAATAGAGGAGGAAGAGGAGGAAGAGGAAGGCGAGGAGGAAGAGGAGGAAGGAGATGGGGAGGCAGAGGCTGTCCAGGAGGAAGAGGAGGAAGAACTGGGAGCGGAGGTGCCCCTGGTGAGTGGCTCCGTGGCTCGGTGGGCCGGTCTGGGTGCTGGGGTGCGTGGGGGGATCGTGTGTGCAGCGGGTGTGCGGGCCCCTGAGGCCCAGAGCTGTGCGTGGGGCCGGCCTGGTGGCGCTTGTTCAAGGGAGTGACCCTGAGTGTGAACAAAGCCCAGAAGACAGGCCGGGAGCTTGCTGGGGGTTCCACCTGCGCGTGCACACATGGTCCCCAGCACCAGCGTGGCCCCGAGCAGGGCCAGGTGTACCCCAAAAGACAAACAGAACGTAACCCAGGGCCAGAGAGCAAGCAGCAGGCGGAGCCACGGGCTCACTCACTAACCCGGGTTCCATCCCAGCACCCCATAGGGCCCCCCAAGCCCCAGCAGGAGTGACCCTGAGCACAGAGCCAGAATCAGCCCTGACTGAGCACTGCTGAGTGTGGCCCTAAAACAAATGAAAACAGACTCAGCGCAGCTTGGAGGGTGTCAGGAAAAGCTCCCCGGAGGCACGTGTTCCGGGCTTTACAGGCCGGTGGTGGAGAGCCAAGGGAGCACGTTCTCGAAGATCCAGGAGTGACACCACTCAGCAGCTTGGTCACACTCACAATCACAGTGGTGTCCGTCCTGGGGAGGCCGGGCATGATGCCCCCCTACTGACCGAGCCCTGGGCTGGACAGAGAACGGGGTAGGGCGGAGCCCAGTTGGAGCACACGCTTTGTTTGTTCCTTTGTTTGTGGATCTGGTGGTGCTCAGGGCTCTGTGCTCAGGGGACACTGATGGGGTTTTGGAGGACCACATGGGGTGCCGGGTTGGCCACGTGCAAGGCAAGTGCCTTCCCTGCTGGCCCATGTCTCTGCCCGAGCCCTGCCTGGAGCAGTCCCGAGCAGCACCGGGTTTCCCTCCAGCCAGGGGCGGCTGCTGAGTGCCGTGAGGGGTTTGCTGGGCAGGAGGGGTGGGGGGGGGGGCGCTGGAGCAATAGCACAGCGGGGAGGGCATTTGCCTTGCATGTGGCCGACCCAGTTTGATCTCCGGCATCCTATATGGTCCCCCGAGCACCACCAGAAGTAATTCCTGGGAGCAGAGCCAGGAGTAACCCCTGAGCATCGCCGGGTGTGACCCAAAAAGCCAATAAATAAATAAACAGAAGTTTTTTCTTTTTTTTAAAAAAAAGGAGGGGTAGGGGAGGCAGCCAGGCACCCTTCCTTGGATTTTCCTTTCCAGAAAAGTCGCGAGCAGAGACAGCTCCTAGAACCCGAGCACTTGGGAACGAGAGAGCTGGGGGAGGCTCCTCCGGGCGCCCCGGGCCAGGCACAGGGGCCGCGCGTCCTGGAGGGGCTGGACCGGGGACCGGCGGCCGCATCCTCTTCTGTCTCCACATCCTCCCCCTCTTCCACGTCCGTGTCCACGTCCACCTTTTCTGAGAGCAACGAGGATGCAGCCGGGGTGGCAGGGCTCTCGGAGAAGTCGCACCTGCTGGCCACGCACAGGGACCTGCTCGCCGAGAAGGACAGCCGAGCGCCTGTGACGCCCCTGGTGAGCACCACCGGAGGGGGAGACCACTGGGAGGGCCCTTTCGGGGGGCAGTTCTGCGTGCTGGAGTAGATTTATTTGGTCCCAAGACCGTGGGATCAGCCTTGTTTGGTCCCAAGATAGGATCGGGCAGGAGTGGAACACCTGGAGACAGGACCTACCTAGTTAGGAATTTCTTTTTTATTTTTTTGCTTTTTGGGTCACAGCCAGCAATGCTCAGGGGTTACTCCTGGCTCTGCACTCAGGAGTTACTCCTGGCGGTGCTCAGGGGACCCTATGGGATGCTTTAAATCAAACCCGGGTCGGCTGCGTGCAAGGCAAAGGCCCTAACCACTGTGCTATTGCTCCAGCCCCCTAGTTAGGAATTTCTTTGTCTTGTTTTTGGACCACACACGTGGCAGTCTGGGCTGACTCCTGGCTCTGTGCTCAGGGATCCCTCCTGATGGGACTCGGGAGACCGTATGGGGTGCTGGGATGGAACCCAGGTTGCTTGTTTCAGTTTGGGGACACCCCTGGCGGTGCTTGGGCTCTGACTCCTGGCTTCTTGCAGTGCTGGCAGAGCGGGGGGGGGGGGGGGGGGCAGGGGAGCTGTGTGGTGTGAGGGAGGGGTCTCGCCCAGCGGCTGCCCTGCCGGGCCCCTCCCCTGGGCCCAGACGGCGCCCTCAGGCACTCCTGCTGCCAGTGCTCTGTCCCCCAGACCATGGACTGGACGTACGGCTGGAACAGTTCCCTCCCTGTCTTCTACATCCGCGACGTGGGCCAGAAGATGCTCCTGTACGCCAGCGGCCACACGGCGATCATCTACGATGTGGTCAGAGGCAGGCAGTACCACCTGCAGGTGCCGGCCAGTCCGGGGGCCCCACGGGTCTGCTTTGGCTGCGGCTGTTTATTTTGGGGTGGCCACGCCCGGCAGTGCTCAGGGCTGACTCCTGGCACTGAGCTTGGGGGTCTCTCTAGGTGACGCCCCGGGGACCTCGCGGGGGTGCCGGGGACTGAGCTTGGCTTGGCGGTGTGCGAGGGCCGAGCGCTCCCGCCTGCTGTTGCTCCCGTCCCAGGGGCCTCTGGAAGCCTGCAGCTGCCCGCTGAGTCCCCGGCCCTCCCCGCCCCTCTCCTGCCCGCACGGCTTCCTGCTCCCCATCTGCCCGTGCCCAGGAGCACCCGGGCATCTGTTTGCTTGTCGTAGCAGACGTCTTGTTTCTTGGCGTCTGCCATGCTGGGTCAGGCTGCGTCTGGCTGGGGCTGCACTGTTTCCCCGGGTGCGCCTTGAAGTCAGATCCCCCTTTGTGGGCCCCCAACTCAGACCCCTCCTCTGTGGATCCCAGACGCATCACCAAGCAGTTCCCGGGCGCTGAGTAAAGGCGCAGGGCTGGGCCCAGGCTGCAGAGTCGGAGCCGCTTCCGTCCCCAGCACTGCTGGGAGCCTGGGGCCAGGAGGGGGCTGGAGGGTCTGCAGCTCTGGGTGCTGTGTGGCGGGTTAGGGGGTGATGAGCGCCCAGGTCACCCTGGGAGATCCCTTTGGTTTGTGTGGGGGGTGGGAGCGGTGGGAGCCGAGGGAAGGCTCTGCGGGGGGCGGGGGGTAGGGGTTGGGGCGGAAATGGGAGATACTGTGCGGAGACTCGGGGCTCCTGCCCAGACCAGTAAAGCATGGACAGGGCGGGAGGGGACAGGACGGGAGGGGACACCGGAGGGGGCCAGGGGAGGGGGACACTGCGGAAAGGGAAGGGCCCTTCAGCACAGGAGCCATGAAAGGGGTGGGGGCGCCTGCCGCCTTCCTGCTGGTCCCCAAACTCTTCCTCTCCGCCCCCCAGGGCCACCCCAACACCATCTCGTGCCTCTGTGTGAGCGAGGACAGGCGCTGGGTGGCCACGGCTGACAAGGGCCCCGAGTGCCTCATCATCGTCTGGGACTCCTACAGCGGGTAGGCGGCCCGCGCGGGCTCCCTGTGGGGTTCGAGGTGCGGGCAGCCTTGGCCAGCTCAGAGGCCACGGAGTCCCCGCGGGAGGCTGAGCCAAACTAGGCTCAGAGTCTCAGGGCCGGGCCACAGGGAGTTCTGCTGTCTGACCGAGCCATTCCCGCCACCCGGCTCTCTCCCTTGCACTGGTGCCCGGGCCCCGCGGCTCTTGCTGTCGCGGGCTGTTGCTCTCTCGGTCCTTCGTTGTCGTGGTTGTGCCCACAGTGCACTGAAGCTCTCACTTTGTTGTGGTGCTGGGGATGGACCTTGCTGCCCGGTACCCTTAGGAGGGTGCCCTGCCTGACAGCCGCATCCCTGCGATGCTCCCTATGGTGCCCCCCCCCCGTGATGCTCCCTGCAGCGCTCCCTGTGGTACTCCCTGTGATGCTCCCCTCAGTGCTCCCCGTGGCACTCCCTATGATGCTCCCTGCAGTGCTCCCCACCGTGCTCCCTGTGGTGCTCCCTGCCTGCACCCCTCGGCCTGTCCCTGGACACTGTTGGCATCTCCTGGTGGCCGAGTGCACGCTCTGATGCACTTTCCTTCGCCTTGGATGAACACGTGGCCCCAGCACCTTTCACTCTGCAAACTGTCTAAAGACGTGGACGCTCCCCGCTTCTCGCGCTGTTTCCCCATGAATCTCGCAGGTCTGGCCACAGAAGAATGGCTAATATTCTAATCTGATTTACCATCCAAAATGCCTTGGATGGAGAACCACAGGTCCAGGGGCCAGGGAAGCAACACTGACCGTTCAGAGCGTCCAGTGTGTTCTCTCTCGCACCCATGCCCAAATGAAGCCCCACATCCACGAAGCCGGCCCCTGCTCTAGCCCTGGCATTTCCTGTGGCCCAGCTGTGGCCTCGGGCTCGGGGCTCTGGCTGCTGCCCAGTGCTGGGGCCTGGGCGTCGAGGTGGACACAGGCACGCCCTGTCTTGCAGCATCCCCGTGCACACCATCTTCGACAGCTGCCCCCAGGGGAATGGCATCCGCTCCATCGCCATGTCCCACGACGCCAAGTTCCTGGCCACCATCTCAGATGATGAGATCCAGGTACCTAGGGTGGGGTGGAGGACCAGGGTGCCTCAACCGCGGGCCAGGAAGCGCCAGGGCATGTCCAGGGCTCCCGGCTGTGGCTTGGCTCCGCCCACCCTGATTTCTGGGGTGTCTACAAGAGCATGGTGCCCGAGCCCCCCAGAAACCTCGCCGCCCTTGCCCGTGTTGCTTGCAGAAGGTTTGCATCTGGAGGTGGACGCTGGCGGTGGAGACGCCGGCCTGCTGCCTCTGCCTTCCCGCTGAGTACGGCCTCCAGGTGAGCTGCGATTCGTGAACAGACCGACCCGAGGCACGGCCCAGGGGGTGGGGCCCCTGCCTTGCACATGGCCCACCAGGCTCAGCTCAGCACCCTGAACCCCACTAGGACCGAACCCCAACCCCCAGCCCAGAGTGGAAGGAGACCCCAGAGCACTTTCAGGTGTGGCCCCCAAACTTTTTTCTTTGGGGGCCACATCCAGAGGTTCCTCCTGGCTCTGCACTCAGGAATTCACTCCTGGTGATGTTCAGGGGACCATATGGGATGCTGGGGATCGAACCCCGGGTCGGCTACATCCAGAACTCTCCAAATCCACTTCTTTCCACTGACTCTGGCTCCGGCCCAGTCCCCCAAACAATTGACAATGAGTCTGCTTAGTGTTTGTGGCCTTGGGGTTCTCCCAGCACCACGCAAGGCTCTAGCCTCTCGCGTCATCTCCCTGGCTGGACAATGGCCGATTCTTTGAGCCCTTATTCGGTGTCGACTCTGCCAAGTCCCGTCCATGCAGATGAGGACACAGTCTGTGCTGGCACACTGGGGGATGAGGCGAACGTGGGCCCAGAGTCGCCGGCTCCCAGGCCTGCTGGTCCTCAGCTGCCTGAGCACGGGCCACCCTGGACATCATCACCGTCCCACACACCGTATTCACTTTCGCACTCCTCGTTCATCAGAGATGAATTTTATTTTTTATTTTATTTTTAAAAAATTTTTATTAGTGAAACACCATGAGGTACAGTTGTAGACTTACAAATTTTTGTGCTTGGGTTTCAGTTATACAATGATCCAGTACCCATCCTTCCACCAGTGCCCATTCTCCATCATTTACATTTCTTTTTTTTAAATTTTTGTTAGTGAAACACCATGGGATACAGTTGTAGACTTACAAATTTTTGTGCTTGGGTTTCAACTGTACAATGATTAAACACCCCACCCCTCCACCAGTGCCCATTTTCCACCACCACGGGTCCAGTATCTCTCCCACCCCTCATCCCCCAATCCCACCCTGCTTCTGTGGCAGGGTATTCCCTTTTTTTAAAAATTATTTATTTATTTATTTTTGCTTTTTGGGTCACACCCGGTGATGCTCAGGGGTTACTCCTGGCTCATGCACTCAGGAATCACTCCTGGCAGTGCTCGGGGGACCATATGGGATGCTGGGAATCGAACCTGGGTCGGCCATGTTGGCTGCGTGCAAGGCAAACGCCCTACCCGCTGTGCTATCGCTCCAGCCCCCGAGGTATTCCCTTTTGTTCAGAGATGAATTTTAGAAAATTTCAGGAGCGTCACACCCAGCGATGCTCAGGGGTTTCTCCTGGCTCTGCACTCAGGAATCACTCCTGGCGGTGCTTGGAGGACCCTATGGGATGCCGGGGATCGAACCCGGGTCTGCTGCATGCAAGGCAAATGCCCTTCCCGCCGGACTATCGCTCCAGCCCCCTAAGAAAAGGGTTTTAAACATTATTTTAGGCACCGTGGCTTACAGCAGTGCTAAGAGCAGGACTTCCTGCGTCAGACGTTCCAGCATCGTGCCTTCCCTAGTGTCCACTCCCCTCTCCCGTGTCCCACGCCCCATGCGGGGGGTGGGGGGGCATGCCCTCTCACCCCACCCCGCCTGTGGCAAGCTTCCTCTGAAGCCCCGAGCTCAGTCTTATTTTATTGCCTTTGGGCATTTCTATCGCCGCTCCCCCAACTTTGTTTCTTCCTGTCCACCTACGAGAGGTCATTCTGTCCCCTCCCGCTAACTGGCCGCTCAGCAGAACTCTCCAAATCCATCCAGGTGGCAGAAAACCGTGATTTTATCTTTTCTTAGAGACGAGTAGCATTGCCTGTGTGTTTGTTCCGTGATTGCTTTATCCAAGTCATCTGCTCTTTCTCTTTGGCAGGGGGAGTGGGGACCCGCGGGGGGCTCGGAGGACCCCGTGGGGTCTGGGGACAGCAAGTACTTTCCCTGCTGTGCTCGCCCTCGACCTTCCCTTCCCGGCTGCTGTTCTGAGGGGGAGCCCCAGTCCCACGGGGACCCCGCCCCCCTCAGATGTGTCCCCCGAAGCCCCTGCCGTGTCATTGACATACCAGGCTGCTGTCCCATTAACCGTATTTAAGTGATACTTTGGGAGACTACAGCAGGGAGGGTGCCCCCGGACTCATCCCTGTCACCACCGAGGGTCCCCTGAGCCCCTCCAGGAGTGATTCCTAAGCGTAGAGCAAGGAGTAAGCCCTGAGCTTACCCCCAAGTGTGGCCCCCCAAAACAAATTAAGTAACTATTCCTGCTCTTGACCAAATGCCATGCTTTTCATTCAGCTTTGTGACTGTTTTTTGGTTTGGGTGACATCTGGCAGCACTCGGGGACCATGTGGCAACGGGGTTGGAACCCAGAGCTCCGGCCTGCTCTGGGCATCACCTGAGCCTCTCGGAATCTGGGCAGTGTGAATCATGGTGAAGTTTAACATAACCAGAGAGAACCTGGAGTTTTACAATTATGTCATAATTTCCATGCTTTATGTATTTCAGAACTACATTACTTTCAATCCAAGAAATAATATAGAATTGGTGAGCAATAGTAAAACACGGACAGTATATTACTTCTGGGTAAGTAGTAATACTTTTCCTTTAAAAAATGTAGTATGTATTTATTCTTTTTCATTTTTCGTTTTTCTTGGCGTGGGGACCCTATGGGGCTGTCCTCAGGGCTCACGCCTGGCTCTGTGCTCAGGAATCACTCTTGGCGCGACACAGGGGATCATAAGTGATGCTGGGATGGAACCCTCACTAGGCTGCATACACATTGTTTCTCAACAGGCCTCAACTATCTGGTTTTTCAAGATCTTGAACTTTATTCCCATTTAGAAAGGAATTAGCAAATACCAGTGATAGATGTACCAACACAGGGCAAAATCGTTGGTAAAAAAACCCAAAGCACGAAGTGGTAATTGTGAATTAGTTAAGCGTGTGCTAATGTTAGTTAAGCGAATGCTGATGTTGCCTCAGTGGTCCTTGTCACATGCCAGCGAGAGCTGGAAGAGCCTTTGAGCACAGACCTTCACAGAGGCATTCGCAGGATGACTAGTGTTGCGGGCTCTTACTGGAAGGTAGAGGAAAACTCCAGATTCACCCACCGATGAACAAGCGTGGCTGCCCCATCAATGGGACATGACTCAGCCACTAATCAGAACGAAGTTGGGGCTGCAGAGAGCGGGCTGAGCCCAGGCCTTGCATGCAGAAGGCCTGGGTTTGGTCCCCAAGCACTGCCAGGAATGATCCCTGAGCACTGAGCAGGGAGTAGCTCCCGGGCACCCCTGTGCATTGCCCACAAAGAAAAAATTTTAGAGAAAGGAATTCGGGGCCAGAGGTAGGGAGCTCGCCTGGCACGCGGCCCACCTGGGTTTGAGCCCCGTTGGCCATGTGATCCCCCGAACCCGCCAGGAGTAACCCCCCAGCACAGCCACGTGTGGCCCCAAAACCAAAACAGAAGACAAGCTAAGAAATGAAATGGTGACACTGGCTATCGTGTGGCCAAACCGTGAAGGCAAAATGCCAGGTGGAAGGAGGTACGTGTGAATGATGTCACTGGGCAAGCGCAGAGTCAGCACCCTTCCGGGACCAAGCACTGGGTACTGAGCTGTTGCGGGCGGGCTTGGGAGTGTCTGGAGCCTCCTCTGGGAGGAAACTGGACCAGAACTAACGGTGCTGGGAGTGGACCCCATTGCCCATGATGAGCCCATTCACAGAGGGTGAGGAAGGGCTGGGCGGGCTCGGGGGTGTCTACGCCGGTGTGTGTAGGACCTGGGTTGGTCCCTGCATGCAGGAGGCCTGCGTTCCGAACCCCGCACTACAGGGGCCCTCTGCCCCACCAGGAGTACTGAGCTGGGAGTAGCCCCCAGCACAGCCAAGTGTGGGCTCCATGCCCCAAACAAACAAAATCACAAAGGTGAAGGGTGACTTTTGTGCAATATTCATTTTATCTTTTTTTTTTTTGTTTTGGATGACACCCGGCAATGCTCAGGGGTTCTTCCTTGCTGAGCTCAGGAATTACTCCTGGCGATGCTCAGGGGACCATATAGGACGCCCGGGATCTAACCCAGTCTGCCGCGTGCCAGGCAAACACCCTGCCTGCTGGACTGTCATTCCAGCCCCGTAATATGTATTTTATCTCAAAAAATACAAAATTAAATTGACTGTCTGGTTCTCAGTGATAATCCCCACTCGCTGGCCTCATGCTAGCTTCCGTCCTGGACGTGGAGTGCTGGGTGCATTGTCCCAAGCATTGGTGGCGGTCTCACCTTCGCTTTTCTCGGCAGATCTTTGGAGCTTCTGCCCAAGCCTCTGAGTTTGTGGCCATTCTGTGTTTGTTTGGGGGCCGCACCTGGCAGAGCTCCGGCTAGCTCATATGTGGTGATGGGGATCGAACCCTGGTCAGCCGCATGCAAGGCGAGCGCCCTTCCCGCTGTCCTGCCAGTCCCCCCCTCCACCCCGTGCTCCTGTGTTCATCTGTGCCAGCGTTGTTCCCTCTGGAAGCCCAGTCTCTATTTATTGATTGGCTGGGGGCCCACACGCGACAATGCTCAGGGCTTACTCCTGGGTCGGCCTCAGGAATTATTCCTAGAGGTGTCTGGGGACCATCTGGGATGCCAAGGTTGGACCTGGGCTGGTCATGCGCCAGGCAAGCGCCCTCCCTGCTGTGCAGTTAGTTGCTAGGGCCCCTGGAGCTGGGGCTCTCTGGAGCCCTGATTCCTTTCTCCTTGCCAGCAGGACGAGGGAGAGACGCTTCTTCACAGCGCCCCACTGCTAACGGTGAAAGTGAGTGCGAACCTCCATGGCGGGCCCAGAGGGGGTCAGTGTGGCTACTTTGGGCTGTCCTTCGAATGTCCGAGTAAAGCTGGGGAACTAGTGGGAGGCACTCACTGGGGCCTCTGGGCAAAGCTAGTAGTCAACAGTGAACGAAGAACTGGAAATAAAGTGACCGGGTTGGGGCTGGAGCGATAGCACAGCAGGGAGGGCGTTTGCCTTGCACACGCTGACCTGGGTTCGATTCCCAGCATCCCAGATGGTTCCCCAAGCACCGCCAGGAGTAATTCCTGAGTGCAGAGCCAGGAGTAACCCCTGAGAATCCTGAGAATCACTGGGTGTGACCCAAAAAGCAAAAAAATGTGATTGGGCTGAGTGGGTGGGCAGGGCTGGGTGGCCCACCCCGGCAGCCAGCAGCAGGAGGGTGAAGAGAGCGGGGGAGGGCCAGCACCCAGCTCACCTCTCCTCCCACGGCCCTGCAGAGCGAGTTCTGGGGCGCAGGGCTGTACCATGCAGGCAGGGACCCCGGGTTCACCCCGTGTCCCCCCAGCACTGCCAGGGTGACCTGGGTGGTCCCCACAGTGCTGGGCCGGGGCCACTCCCCACCCTCAGGGCCTCACACTGAGCCTCAGGACCCCTTGACTGAGAACTGCCCAGAGGGGCCCCCCAGAGGAGGACCTGGCAGAAGGGGGTTGAAGAGGAGCCAGGTGGGCCCAAAAGCTCCAAATCTCACAGATCTGAGCCCCTGGGGCACCCGGGGTGACCCGGCCCTGTGGCCTGCAGCCGGCCCTCCCACCCACCCCCAAGTTCCTGCTCAAGGGCTGTCCTTGACACGGCCTCAGCACTGGGGCTCCACTCCGCAGTTGCAGGCTCGCCCGGAGAGTCCCTGTCAGTGCCTCGCGGGGGCCCAAGTCACTGGAGCGAGCACCCATCTAGAGTGACCCCGAAGGACTCGACTAGGCTGGGACGGGAGGAGAAGCGTCACCCCGCGTCCTTGCTGCCAGAACTGGCATGTTGGTCTTGTTCTTTGTATTTTTTTTCCTTTTGGAGCTTGGGTCACACCCGGCTATGCTCGAGGCTACTCCAGGCTCTGCACTCAGGGGCCACTCCTGGGGGTGCTGGGGGGACAAATGGGATGCCGGGAATCGAACCCAGACCTGCCCCATGCGAGACGAGTGTCCTCCCTGCCTCTCTGCTGCTCCTGCCCAGCACTGCCTTTAGAGGGGGACCCTGTCCCCCGGACCATGTGACTGACCCTCCTGGCCTTCAGGTCAGCAGAGGCCCCTGGGTCTCCGCTGCAGGACTAGAGGGGTGCGGACACCGAGTAGGCTAGACTGGAGAATGTCCAAGAGACGTCCCCAAGAACAAAATAGGAGACTAACACCCAAGAACAGCTGTGATAAATACCAGGTTGTTCACTCCATGGCTTAGAGGCCAGCCGCACACGCTAGGGAAAAAGGCAGCTCAGATAGAGAAGGGAGCACCGAATAAAGGGTGCTGGGAAGATCTGCCCAGGATGGGAGAAGCATGCTGAAAGTAGACTATAGACCGAACACATGATCGCCACCCAATGCCTCTTTTGCAAACCACAACACCCAATAGGAGAGAGAGAACAAAAGGGAATTCCCTGCCACAGAGGCAGAGGGGGATGGGGGGTGGGAGGGATACTGGGATTAGTGGTGGTGGAGAATGGGCACTGGTGGAAGGATGGGTACGCGATCATTGCATAACTGAAACCCAAGCACAAAAATTTGTAAGTCTACAACTGTACCTCATGGTGCTTCACTAATAAAAATTAAAAAAAAAAAAAAAGAGAGAGAGAGACGGCCCCAAGGCCACGAGCGCCTTTTAGCCCCCGACCCCCACCCCACACACAGCTTAGTGAAGAGTCTAGGGGTCACGCTCTGGACAGCGCTGCCCTGTGCGCGTGGGAATCACGTGTGGCCAGGGGGGAAGTGGTGTGGGGGTCCTGGACAAGGAGTTGCCTCGTGCCAGTCACGAGAAGGAAGTGACCGAGGCATCGGCCCCTTGATGGGGTGTTCTGGCCTGGCCACTGCGCATCCCTTGCTCTGAGCACCACAAGCGCAGTGGTCCTGCCCTGCGTCCCCCGGGCCCAGGACCTTTCTCCCGGCGTCTCGGGAGGTGCCCATGGGCCCTGACGCCCTCCCTGTCTTCCGGAATGCAGACGTTCAACAAGCTGGTGGGGAAGTTCAGCCAGTCTGTGTTCCACCTGGCCGAGACGCAGGTCCTCTCGGCCACGCACGAAGGGAAGCTGGTGGTCTGGGACATCTCTAGGCCGACACCGTCCGCCCCGGGGGCCGGCCCCACCCTCCGGCCTTGTAAGCTGGTCCACTTGCAGAAAGAGGGGATCACGGTGCTGACCACAGTGGACAGGTAATTTGCTTTTCCTTTGGTGTTTGGGCCCCACCCGGCGGTGCTCAGGGCTTCCTCCTGGCTCTGTGCTCCGGGGTCATTCCTGGTGGGCTCGGGGGACCCTGCGGGGTGCTGGGGTCGAACCTGGGTTGGAAAATGCCCGGCCTGCTGCACTGTTGCGTCAGCCCCGTTTTAAAGGTAATTTAACCTGATTTAAAAGCTGAGGGACCAGGGCAGAATCACATCTTGGGACCTTTTTTGCTGAGTCATCTGAGATCAGCTTCGGGGGTCCCCGCACCTCCTGACACCCCCTCCCCTAAACCTCCACACACACACACACACATGAAAGCAGGAGACTCTACACATATTTAGAAACGCTTTTGGACATAACCTCGTGTTTTGTGGGCACGCGGAACATTCCAGAGAGAGATTCAGAGGCACAAGCCAATGGCTCAGGGTGGGATGGACTTGCCTCTGTGGTCTCATTTGCACCAGCCTCATCTGGCAAGAATTCCTTAACAACAACAAAATCTCCCTTGGTGTTGGTGAAACGAAAAGTAACTGATTTTTGCCCCCTTCTGCACTACGTAGGGTTATTTTGCCCCGTAAATTAGAATTCCCTTATGTTGAAGGAAAGAACACGGGGCCAGGGAAGCCCTAACGGCTTCGTGCACAGGCCTCGCGTGTGAAGGCCCCAGTGGGTCCCAGGCACCCTGTGGTCCCCTCAGACCCCCAACAACAAACGAAGCCGAGATAGAGAGCCCTGAGCACCTCCAGGTGGGGTCGGTCCAGAAAGGGGGCGACATGAGCGCTTACCCTGTTATTTTTCAATTGGAAAATAACCCCCATTGGGAAAAGATAAACACAGTGGAAGTCCGAGGGGGTCGTGGCTTTGATTTTGAGGGGCCGTTTTATTGTTTTTTCTTTTTGGGTTACACCTAGCGATGCTCAGGGGTTCTTCCTGAGCTCTGCACTCAGGAATCGCTCCTGGCGGTGCTCGGGGAAGCATATGGGATGCTGGGAATCGAACCCGGGTCGGCCGCGTGAAAGACAAATACCCAACCCGCTGTTCTTCGCTCCAGCCCCTTGAGGGGCCGTTTCAAAGGTCACTCAAAGAGCTGACACATCCTGAGATGTCCAGGGGCTCCCCGCGGCTGGCCCCCTTCTCCCCGTCAGGGAAGTGGGCCTTGCCGCCAGCCGACGGTGTTTGCCAAGGCTGCTCTTGGCACGTGGCCTGGCACGGGACCGGGGCGGGAGGTGGGGGGTGGGAAGCTCCATAAATAACCATTATGCTTGATGTGCAAGGCGGGATCCCCCCCGCCTGTGTCTGGGCCTCCCGGGGGCTCTCTGGTCCAGGCAACAGTCAGGTCCTGCCAGGGCTTTGCAGAGAGAGGCGAGTTGCCATCCTCATGAGCAGGACTCCAGCTCTGAATCAGCGTGGGGGGGGGATGTCTAGGGCTGGTGAGGACCCTGCCTGGGTCCCTGCCCCCCACACCCACCTCTCCCCAGCGGGGACCCAGAGCCTCCAGAAAAGAGTCCGCGGGAACACGGGCCTGCTGTGCCCATACTGCCCAGCAGAGGGCGTGGCAGCATCCCGCGGCCCCTGCTGCTCTGCCTGGCGGCCTCACTTAGCTAATGGGACACCAGGGCCCATCCTGCAACTGCAAGAGCAAATTCACCCCCAGCGCCCCATGGGGGATAGATCCTGGCAGACTTCTTTCTCTTGCCGGCCGTTTTCTGCACAGAGCTGCCCCGCGAGGCCATGCCTGGGCTCTGTGTCCTGCCCTCGGCCCAGCATGGAGCTGCTGCGGGGCTGATGCCTGTCCTTTGCCAGGACCCCCGCGGCACCCCCACTGCCCAGGTCCGAGGAGAGGGGCGGGAGCCTGGACACCACCTGTGTCCCCTCAGGTCAGGCCCTCCCTCTCAGGAAGCCCTCCTGGGTCTGTGTGTCCCACGCAACATCTGGGCAAACTTACACGATTGTTTATCTGAAAGCCTTTTGTATTTTTTTGTTGTTGTTGCTGTTTGTTTTTTGGGCTATACCCTGCAGTGCTCAGAGGTTCTTTCTGGCTCTGCACTCAGGAATCACTCCTGGTGGTGCTCAGGAGATCCTATGGGACTCCGGGGATGGAACCTGGGTCAGCTATGTGCAAGGCAAGCGCCCTCCCTGCTGTACTATTTATCTGAAATTCTAACTTAACTGAACATTGGGCGTTCTTGCAAAAGCTGGAAACCCCAGTCCCTAGAAAACTCCAATTTTTGTCAGGGTGGGGGATCACACCCAGGAGTGCTCAGGAACTCTTATGGTCCGGGGGATGGAACCCAAGCTCCTGCATGCCAGGAGTGTCTCCAATCCCCACAGCTATGTCCAGGCCTCTCTCTCTCCTCCGTGTAGGGTGGGGACGGCAGTAGAATCAGCCTCTGTGGCAGCACGGAGCCTCGCTGACAAGTCGCAGAGGCCAGAGCCCGAGTAGCACCAGGGGGATCCGAGGGTCCCTCTCGCCAGGGTCTCACCAAGGGCTGCTTTGCCCATTTCAGCTACATCGTGACCGGGGACGTCAAGGGCCACATCAAGTTCTATGACCGCTCCCTGTCCATTATTAACTGGTACAGCGGCTTCAAGCTGAGCTCCATTCGAGCACTGTCCTTCGCCAGGACCCCCGCGGCGCCCCCGCTGCCCAGGTCCGACTACCCCGCGGACTGCACTTTGGCTGGCGACCGCTTTGTCGTGAGGTGAGTGGCCTGTGGAGCGACGTGCCTGCGCCTCCACCTGCCAAAGTCCATCCTTTGGGGTTGGAGCGACAGCGCAGCGGGGGGGGAGGGCGTCCGCCTTGAGCGCGGCCAACCTGGGTTCCATCCCTTGCATCCCAGATGGTCCCCCGAGCACCGCCAGGAGTGATTCCTGAGTGCAGAAAGAGCCCTTGAGCATCACCAGGTGTGACCCAACAAGAGAAAAAAACAAAAGTCCATCCTTCCCAGACTAGGATCCAGATATCCCTGTCCTCGCTCATTCTTGGCCTGTGAATAGAGCTCCTGGCAACCAATTCCTACTGAAGAGCTTACTATTCTGGGGGCCAAGTGGGTGGGTGTCTGCCTGGCACACCAGTGCTGGTTCTTCAGTCTCCAGCGTCCCCTCTAAGCCCCTGAGCGTCCCTGGATTCCGTATGGTCCCCCATGCACTGCCAGGAGTAACCCCTGAGTATTGCAGGGTATGGCCCCCAAACAAAATCAAAGAATGTCACTGTTTTGAGACTTTCTTAGATGAGTCCTTTTGTTTGGTTGGTTTTGGTGTTTGCCACACCAGCCGCGCTCAGGGTTTAACCTGGTTTGCTGCTGGCAGTGCTCGGGAGACCACATGGGATGCCAGGGATCGAACTGGGGTTGGCCACGAGCGAGACCGTACTGTCTCTCCTACCCTCAGAAGACTCAGAGTTGGAACCGGGGCCTGGGCGAGGGTTTAAGGAGCGGTCCTCGGCCCTGCATCGTGACCAAGACCCTGAGTCTGATTCTCGGCACCTCATGACCTCCCTGACACCTCACTGGTGTAGCCCTGCTGGTCACCCCAAAAAGAAAATCAAGCTGGGTGTGAAGGGCAGAGCTCATGTTTCTGTCCCCGCACTGCTGTCGCTCCCGTCCCCGAGCCGGCTTTGTCCCCACCACTGCAGATAAAGGCATTTGATAATTAATAGCCATAACATTTCGAGACGGAATTATCTGTGAAGCTGCTTAATTGCCCTTGCAGTATTTGCCTGCACATCTGTACGTGTGCGCCCAGCTCCGCATTTGCATACGCAAATGAATATTTGCATGCGCAGATTAGCTAATTGTGCCTGCGACGGTCCATCTGCATGCTCAAGGACTCTATTTGCATGTTGAAATGGGGCCTTTTTCACTTGCAAATGGAGGCAGTCGGGGACCAGGGTGGATTTTTGGAGCCTGTGGGTTAATAATGTCAGTAAATTACAGTGACGGAGGCAGCTCGCGTGCAATTAGAAGCCGCTGGCCGGCTCAGCCGGGCCCACGCCCGCCCGCGGACCCCACAGGCTCTCTGCTCGGCAAACAGGAATTTTATCATCGGGACATCTGACGCCACGATATACCACCTAACGACAGATGGGACCAAGCTGGAGAAGGTGCTGTTCGAGCCCAGGGATGCCATTTGTGCCGTTTCCTGCCACCCCTACCAGCCCCTGGTCACCATCGGCAGCTTCTGCGGGATGATCAAAGTGTGGAATTATGAGAAGAAGAGCTACCTGTTCAGCAGGGTCTTCGAGAAAGGCCTTGGGGTCCAGAGTCTCAGCTACAACCCGGAAGGTGCGGGCCACGAGCCCCTGCTGCCCCTCTTCCCCTCTGTGCCCAGGCCCGCGTCCCCCCCACCCCCGCCCCCTGCCAGGCTGCTAGCTCAGCCTGGCCCTCCCTCTGCTTGCAGGAGGCCTGCTGGGCGTCGGCTTCACGGATGGGACAGTGCACATCCTAGACTCCATGTCCCTGGAGAACGAGGTCCCACAGCCCTTCCATTACTCCAGGTCCAGTGTGACCCACATCAGCTTCTCCTACGACTCGCAGTACATGGCCACTGCGGTGTGTGCTCGCCCGAGTTGAGCTGGGAAACCCACTGGTGGGGTGGGGGAGGGCCCGCCTCTGTCCACCTGCCACGGCTTCAAGCTCTCTCATGGCGAAGAGGACACTAGCCTGGCCCGGGCAGACCTGGTCTGGGTCCCTGAGCAGCCTGGGTGTGGCCTCAGAACCGAACAGAAAACTAAGAGAGGAAATATCCTTTCAATGAAATCCCAGGGCAGGACCCTCGGGCTATCCTCAGTCCCACTGAATCGCAACTGTACATTTCTACAGGGGTGGGGGTCCCTGCAGTAGCGCTCTGGGGGCACTCCCAGCATTCCTCGGCCTCTGCACCGGGTGGGTCAAGTGCCAGGTGGCAGGGTCTGGGACCACCAGGGCCAGCCGGGCAGTGTGTGAAGGACCTATGATGTTGGGGGTCAAATCAGGCCCCACCAGGCAGAGCCTGCACTCAGGCCCTCTGCTTTTTTTTTTTTCTTTTTGGGTCACACCTGGCGACGCACAGGGGTTACTCCTGGCTCTGCACTCAGAAATCAGCCCTGGCAGTGCTCAGGGGACCGTAAGGGATGCTGGGAATCGAACCTGGGTTGGCCGCGTGCAAGGCAAACGCCCGACCCTACCCGCTGTGCTATTGCTCCAGCCCCTCAGGGCCTCTGCTCTGGATGAAGTTCTTGCGTCGTAATTTGTGTTTCTTTGCTTCTCTTTTGGGACCACACCTGGCAGTGCTCAGGGTTTACTCCTAACTCGGTGCTCAAGGATCATAAGAGTGTGCCAGAATCGAACCTGGCTTGACCCTATCCACTGTGCTATCTCTCCAGTCCCCAGATTCTTTTTTAAATATTTTTGTTTGTTTGTTTGTTTTTGAGCCACTCCCGGTGATGCTCAGGGGTTATTCCTGGCTCTTCTCTCCTGGTGGTGCTCGGGGAACGCTATTGGATTCTGGGGATGGAACCCGGGTCAGCTGCATGCAAGGCAAACACCCTCCGCTCTGGACTGTCACTTTAGCCTCAATTTTCGTACATTTTCCAAGGAATAATTTCTGCTGTCTAGAGCGGGAGGGATAGTGCAGTGGGCAGGGCACTTGCCTTGTACACAGATGACGCAGGTTTGATCCCTGGCATCCCGTAAGTCACCGCGCCCCACCTGGAGTGATCCATGAGCGCAGAGCCAGGAGCAAGCCCTGAGCACTGCCCGGAGTGGGTCAGACCCCGAACAAATCAGCAATGATGCCTGTTCCCCGCAGGACGTGAGCTTCACCGTGGCTGTTTACAAGGTGGTCGTGAGCGGCGGCCTGCGGGTCTGGGAGTACCTGGCGCGACTCCGCTCGCACCGCAAGAGCATCCGCACCGTCCTGTTCGGGATCCACCTGGACAACAACGAGCCGCGCCTGCTGACCCTGGGGGTGGACCGCCTGCTGGTGAGTCGCGGCCCACCCGGCTTGGCCGGAGGAATGAGTGGGCACTGGCGGGGCACATGCACTCCACAAGTGACCCTGGGCTGTAACAGGACAGTGACCCTGGCTTTCGAGTGGGGGGCTGTGCGGGGCGGGTCCCCCACTGCAGGGGAGACTCATGATGTCCGGGCTAAAGGAAGGGACAGTGGCAAAGGGAGACGCACAAAAGGGACCATGACCAAGACAGCAGATTCGAATCAGGGTCCAGAGCAATGGGCTGGCAGGGAGGACGCTGGCCTTGCACGTGTCCGACGCAGGGTCCATCCCCAGCACCCCATATGGTCCCTCAACCCCCATCAGGAGTGATCCCTGGGTGTGGCCCCCCAAAGCAAAACCCAAACAGGAGGATTCCAGATCAGTCTGTCAGACCCGTCTGAATTCCTTTAGTCTATCCATCTCTCCATCCGGTCATTGATCCTGCTCTTCCATCCATTGGCCACTCACGCACCCATCCACCCATCCACCATCCGTCCTTCCTCGCCGCTGACCCATCCGCCCCTCTCACCGTCTCTCTGCCACACATCATCCACCCACCAGCCACCCACTCAGCAGCCCACCATCTGCCCACCAGCCGCTGCTCCTCCGTTCTCCGTGCTTCGCTCACTGCCCACCCGCCCACCCTTCCACCTACGCACCCATCCCCTCTGCGCCAGCCAGCCAGCCAGCCATCTGCCCGCCGTGGGCCCGTCTCTGCATCCATCTTTCCGGGTCCGGCAGAGCGAAATCCAGCAGGCTATTGTAATGACCTTACAACAGCGGCTGAGGTAACTTATTTTTGGGTTTGGGGGCCACACCCAGCGGTGCTCCGGACTTGCTCCTGGCTCTGTGCTTGGAGATCACTCCTGGTGGTGCTTGGGGGGCCAAGCGGGGGTGTTGGGGATCAAACCTGGGTCTGCCACGCACACGGCAAGAGCCCTCCCCTCTGTACAATCTTTCTGTCCTCAAGTGCTGAGACTTACGGAGGGATTGGTCTCTACCCCAGAGGGTTTCCCAGATAGTGGAAAGTGAAAGGTGAGTGTTAGGGTTCAGCTGGGTGGGGCTGGGGTGATAGCACAATGGGTAGGGCGTTTGCCTGGCCCCTGGCCAACCCGGATTCGATTTCCAGCATCCCATATGGTCCCCCAGTACTGCCAGGAGTGAGCCCTGAGTACAGAGCCAGGAGTTACCGCTGTGCATCGCCGGATGCGACCAAAAAGCAAAAAAAAAAAAAAAAGAGTTCAGCTGGGGGCCCAGAGCAATAGTACAGTGGGGAGGGCACTGGCCTTGCACAGGGCCGACCCAGGTTCCATCCCTGGCCCCCCATATGGTCCCCCAGGCACTGCCAGGAATAATTCCTGAGTGCTGAGCCAGGACTAATCCCTGAGCATCACCAGGTGTGACCCAAAAAAAAAAAAAAAAAAAAACAAGACGTTCAGCTGTGCTCGGCTGGGCCTGAGTTTCTGTCTCCTGTCTTATCCTTCCGCATCTCCTGCTGGTCGGAGAGGAAGCCTCTGAACGTGGGCTTTCTCAGCTGCGGGAGGCCATGGACTCAGCTTCCGGTCTGGCTCCTGAGGAACATTCTGGGTCTTTTTGCTCAAGAGGCCTGACCCCATCTCAAGGGGCCGTCTCCCTTGGCCCTGTCTTCACACGGGCCCCTGGTTCCCGCAGATTGAGTACGATCTTCTCCGGAGCTACAAGGACCACCTGGAAGTGCTGGACATCCACCGCACCGACCAGGGCCACTCGCCCACCTGCATGGTGTGGTACCCACCGCTGTCCAAGGAGCTCTTCCTGCTGGTCTGCAACAGCGGCTATAAGATCCGACTCTTCAACTCCACCACCAAAATGTGCAGGTCAGCACCCCTGGCCACAGGGGGCAGTGTGGCGGCTGGCCCTGTCCCTCCCCTGCAGGGAGGAAGCTGAGATGCCCGTCACGATCGGGTGGGGGTGAGGGGCAGCAGGTAGACATGGCGGGAGATGCAGCTCAGGGGCTGGAACCCTGGAGCACAGCGAGTGGGGACCCTGTGGAGGTGGCCCTCCCCAACAGACAAGAGAAGGTTTCAGGTGGGGGGCAGGGGCAGGGGCTGGCAGGGCCTCGCACCCAGAGCCTTGCTGTCCTGGGGCAGCGGCTTGTCTGGTCCCAGGGAGGTGGGTGTCCATGCACCAGAGCCTTACTGGGGCCCCACCTGACACACTTCTTATATTTATTTATTTATTTATTTATTTATTTGCTTTTTGGGTCATACCCAATGATGCACAGGGGTTACTCCTGGTTCTGCACTCAGGAATTACCCCTGGCGGTGCTCAGGGGACCTTATGGGATGTTGGCAATAGAACCCGGGTCAACTGCTTGCAAGGCAAATGCCCTACCCGCTGTGCTATCGCTCCAGACCCACACTTTTTTTTTCTTTTTGGGTCACACCTGGCGATGCTCAGGGGTTACTCCTGGCTCATGCACTCAGGAATTGCTCCTGGCGGTGCTCGGGGGGCCATATGGGATGCCGGGGATCGAACCTGGGTCGGCCATGTTGGCTGCGTGCAAGGCAAACGCCCTACCGCTGTGCTATCGCTCCAGCCCCACCACACTTATTTTTAATTTAATTTTATTGGTATTTTTATTTTAGAAAGTATCGTTCACAATCATTGATCACATTCAGTACTCCAGCACACCTCTCCCACCACCATCACACCTTCCTAACACCATATTTTGAATGTTTCCACCCCGACCCCCAACGCCTGCCTCCAAAGCAGGACCTAAATTTATTTTGTATCGCTCATTATGAATAATCCGCTAAAAATGATCCCAAAAAGTTTCCTTAGAGGAAAGTGTTGAAGATTGTTGTATCTCACCCCGGAGCCATTAAGCCCTTGTGTAAGAGATTACTAACTTGTTAACGATTGAGGCCTGTGTGCCAATATTTATATTTGTTAGCACTTTTTAAAAATTAAATTAATTGGGCCAGAGCGATAGTACAGGGGGTAGGCCATTTGCCTTGCACGCAGTGGACCCCGGTTCGATCCCTGGCATTCCATATGGTCTCCTGAGCACCACCAGGAGTGATTCCTGAGTGCAGAGTCAGGAGTGACCCCTGTGCATCGCCGGGTGTGACCCAAAAAGCAGCCAATCAATCAATCAATAACATTAATTAATTCATTTTCTTTTGGACCACACCTGGCGGTGCTCAGGGCTTCCCCTGGGCTCAAGACTCTGTCCCGGTGTCTCAGGGCGGGGCGGGGGGAAACGTGTGTGATGTGTGGGGGTGGACTCGCTGTGGCCTTCCCTGCTGGACTCTCATCGGAATGCGCTGGGGTCGGGAGTCACTTGGCCGTGGCCCCAGCTCCGTCTCTGAGCCAGGGACTGAGAGCCGCACACCTGGGGGTGGCCGTCGAAGTGAAACTCCCTGACCTGAAAGTGACCACAAGGTGACCAGTGAGGGACAGGGCTGCCCAGGATCGGGTCTGTAAATGCAGGGACGAGGGGGCAGTGGAGAGGCCCGGCTGGTCCCCGGGGCGACCCCCGGACAGAAGAGGGCCCAGAGGCTGGGGCTGGCTGGGGGGGTCCCTGCTGCCTCCCGGGGCTCCTGGCCACTGGGGGCGTGCTTCTCACAGCTGCCACCCCTGCAGGTCACTGCCTGGCAGCCTGTCCTTGTCCCTCAGCCCTGAGCCTGGGGTTCCCCTTGCCATCCGCGGGGAAGGTGAGAGCCTCATGCAGGAGCGGGCACAGGCAGATGACCCCGTGTCCGGGTCGCGGGCCTGAGGCTCCCGCTCTTCTCTCGGCCGCAGGAAGACACTCCTGGGGCCGGTGTTCGGGTCCCCCGTGCAGCAGGTCCAGGTGGTGCCCGTGAAGGCCTTCGTGGAGCTGCAGCGCCGTTACCTGGTGTTCATTAACCGGGACAAGGTACCTGCCCGCAGGGGGCCCGATGATGGCGCCCCCCCACGGCCCATGTACGGGAGCCCCAGGGTCCATCTTTCCCTGTCCTCTTGACTCTGGGCCCCCCGAAGCTCCGAGCTCGGAGGACCAGGCAGGGCTGGGGGGAATCTGGGTGCTCGGTGGGCTGAGCCGTCTCCCCAGCCTGGATGGTTCCTCCTGATTTATTCACACACACACTCACACACACACACACACACACACACACACGCTCTTTAAATGCGTGTGAATATTAGTTCCGGGCAGTTGCACACTTCACAAATAATCTACACTGGAAAGTATGCAGTCACCACAGCCGGATTGTTCTGGAAAGCCGCAGACAGCAGGGAGGACGGGGAAGAAAGCCCCTCGTCCTCCTGCACCGTGGCCCTGCGGGGCTGGTGTGTGAGCCCGCCCCCCCCCAGCCTGCCCCCCCGCCCCCCCAGGTGGGCATCCAGATCCTGCCGGCGGACGGCAACCCTCACAAGACCTGTGCCATGGTGTGTCACCCCGGCGGCGTCTCCAGCATGAGCCTCTCCTACGAGGGCCGCTACGTCTTCACGGCGGGAGGGCACGACCGGTCCGTGGTGCAGTGGAGAATCAACCTAAGGTTCGGGCGAGTGTGCAGGGGGCAGGGGCCCCGCCCACACTCTGCCATGTGTCAGCGCTTTTTAAAAATTAATTGATTGGGCCAGAGCGATAGTGCTGGGGGTAGGCCGTTTGCCTTGCACGCAGCGGACCCCGGTTCGATCCCTGGCATCCCAGATGGTCCCCTGAGCCCCACCAGGAGTGATTCCTGAGTGCAGAGCCAGGAATGAACCTCGTGCATCGCAGGGTGTGACCCAAAAAGCAATCAATAAATAAATAAAATGAATTAATTTTCTTTTGGACCACACCTGGCCTCACCTGCGGCCATCACTGAGCAGCCAGACTGGCCGGCAGAGCTGGGTGTGCGGCTGGGGCCTCCCTGCTGCCGGGGGCTGGTGCCACGCCCGGCCTCGGCCTCAGCAGGGTTTTTGCCCCAGGGGCTCCAGGTCTGGGAGTGGAGGGGGCGGCTGCTCTGAGCCGGGGACTGGGGGGCCGACTCGGTGCCTGCTGCCGCTTTCGTACCTGGGCAGCCGCCCGCTCGCCCGGCTCACACTCAGCTCAGCGCAAGCCCCAATCACCGGATTTTCCCCATCAGCAGAACCTGACCCCCCAGCACCCCACCCACCCCGCAGGGCCGCCCCAGAGCTGCCAGAATCTTCCCTGGGGAGTCTCCCGGGAGGAACTGGCCGTCCCCAGGCCCAGGGCTTCTCAGGGCTGGCTCCAGAGACTGCCCCCCTTTCCAGAACCCCTGTTTTCAGGCTGTTTGCAGCCCCCCTGCGGCACCCCAGCCCGAGAGACACGCTGAGGGTTGGAAGTTGTATGGGCCCCTGGGACCCCCTCCCTGGGCCCTCCTCAATGATTCTAAATCCCTCTTAGGGCTGGGGGTACAGATGGCTCCGCGATAGGACAGCTTCCTTCTGGGGGGCGCTGGGTGCCCACTTTTCCAGAGCCTTCCTGGGCCTGGCCAAGGTCCAGACTTCCCAGAATTCCCCTTATAGCTACTGTGGGGACAAAGGATCGTTACAAGTTAATCAGTGCTTCACTGTCGCTCCCCTGTCTTAATACGTTGGTGCTTCCCTAATGGGATGGAGCATTGAGTCTCCTCAGTGAACTCTCTGGGGGCTCCCTGCAGGGGCGGGGTGAGGAGGGGGAGCCTCCTTCCTGGGACACCTTTCCAATGCCCCTGGGCTGCACCCTCAGGCTCTGACCCTCCTCCGGGACTGACCCTGGCCCCAGGCCCGGCTTCTCAGCTTCTTTCTGCCGGGGTCTGCACGGAGGGCGTGCGGCTAATGGCCTGACTTGGCGGCCGTGAATTGCTACGGCCCCTACCCCGTTAGCGCCGCACCAGGAAACTTGGTCTCCTTGGAAAGTAGGTTTTCTTACATGAAAGGGCCTATTTTCGGACACTCTGACCCCGCGTCAGAGAGCAGAGGGTTATTTTTATCTGCCTGGCGAGGTCCCTGGTGGTTTTGATGGGAGCAATTAGCACTGCGTCCTGTCCCTGGTCGGCGCGCGTGTGTGTGTGTGTGTGTGTGTGTGTGTGTGTGTGTATCTGTGCGTGTTTGTGCGTGTGTGTATGTGTGCGTGTGTGTGCGTGTGTGTGTGCGTGTGTGTGTGCGTGTGTGTGTGCGCGCATGTGTGTGCACGTGTGTGTGCGTGCGCTTGTGTGTGTGTGTGTGTTTGTACGTGTGCACGTGTATGGGGCGGGGGGCACCCTGGGTCCCAGCCCCACACCTGGACTTGGAGTTTCCCTCTTCAGCTGTCCTGGGGGCAGGGGGTTTCCTCAACCAGTCTACAGAGGCCGGAGCCTGCTGCCCTCTGTCCTCTGGTCCCCACAGTGTCCTGGATGCTGCCGTGTCCCTCGGGGGCAAGGACCTGGCTCCCTTCTATAGCCTGGTGTTTGGTGGCAGGGAAGGAAAATTCTACAGGGTAAGTGTGGGCAGGGAGCCTGTGTGTCCCCTGCCCTGTGTGGCCCCGCTCGGCCGCCTCGAGCTACTCCGAGGGACTCGAGGCGAAGACAGCGGGGAAGGGGCCAACTCCCCGCCTCCCCGCGTGGGGCCCTGAGCCCCACCCCCCTCTTCCCGCAGGAGCTGGAGAACTACTTCTACTACTCACAGCTACGCAGCCAGGGCATCGACACCACGGACACCCGGAAGGTGTCGGAGCACATCGCGCTCTCCGAGCTGCCCTTCGTCATGAGGGCCATCGGCTTCTACCCCTCTGAAGAGAAGGTGCGGCCCAAGGACCAGGGAGGGTGATTGGGGGATGGTGGCCCCTCCCGCTGGCCGTGTCAAGGTGGGCCAGAACCTTTGGGGTTTGCTTTGTGCTCTGTCTGGCTTGTCTTTTGTTGTTTCTGGGGGAGGGGGCTCCCAGGTAGAGAACTTAGCCCTAAAGTCATTCCCAGGCCAGGAGCGATAGCACAGCAGGGAGGGCATTTGCCTTGCACGCGGCCGACCCAGGTACCCAGGTTCTATCCTCAGCATCCCATATGGTCCCCCGAGCACTGCCAGGAGTGATTCCTGAGTGCGGGGCCAGGAGGAACCCCTGAACTTCTCTGGGTATGACCCAAAAACCAAAAGAGAGAGAGAGAGAGAAACTTTTTATTTTATTTTATTTATTTTGGGTCACACCCGGCGATGCTCAGGGGTTACTCCTGGTTCTGCACTCAGGAATTACTCCTGGCAGTGCTCTGGGGACCATATGGGATGCTGGGAATCGAACCTGGGTTGGCTGCGTGCAAGGCAAATGCCCTCCCCGCTATGCTATCACTCCAGCCCCCTGTTTTGCTTTGTTTTTTATTTTATAGAAAGGGCAGGTGGCAGGGGTTAAGGCACTTGCCTCCTGCTGATCCCAGTTTGAGCCCTCAGCACTGCACGGGCCCTTTCGAATGGTCTGCGCTGCCAAGGAGTGTGTGTGTGTGTGTGTGTGTGTGTGTGTGTGATGGGGGGTGTGCGTGCTCCTGGAAAGCTTATTCTCTATCTGGATTCCACTATCTCACGGGGTCAGGTGTGTATTGATGCGTACCTCAGGCCCTACAGATGGTCGTCCCAAAAGGTAATTCCCCCCTCAGCCCTATGGTTGGCCCCTCTGTCCTTAAATCTTAATTTTTATTTTATGACCAGTATTAATTGGGCTTGGGGATCACCTGGTGGTGCTCAGGGGACCATGTGACACTGGGCCCGACTCTGAGCCTCCCAGTCGCCAAGCATGTGGCCGGCACCTTGGGCTTCTCCCCATTCCTCCCTGAAAATAATCATTTTAAACATTTTCACTTTTGGGCCCAAACCTGGTGGCGCCGGGGGCCCTGCTCGGTTCTGTGACTGCGTCGGCCACACGCATGACCAATGCTCTGGGCCTTGCAGTCACTCCAGGCCTGCGAATCTCGAGTTTTCATCTTTGGGTTTGTGTTTTGGGCCCTGCCCGCTGGTGCTCAGAGCATCCTCCTGCCTCTGTGCTCAGGGTCACTCTTGGCTGTGCTCTTGGTGCCCGGGATGGTACTCGGGCCGGTGGCAGGCACAGCCTCTGTCTCTAAGCTCCTAACCCTTACACCGGTGCCATTGGAAGGTCTGCCACGCTCTAATGGCGTAGGGGAAAGAGCCCAGTGCCAGCGTCCGTCCCCATGTCTCCTCGAGAGACACGACCGCCTCCTGGGCTGGGAAGCGCGTGGTCCTGGCCCTACCCTCCTGGCCACGCGGCCCTGGCCCTGCCCTCCCGGCGACGCTTCTCACCGGCTCTCAAGCCTTGCAGAGCCCCAGCTGGTCTTTGTGGTGCATCTGCAGTGGCTCCATCACTTCCTTCCCCACGGGGACACATGGTGACCGGGAGTGAGTGGATGGCAGAGATGGGCACCTTCATGGGCTGCTCAGTGGACGGGCTTCCCTCTTGCCTCTATTGTGCTGTGCTGAACCGGGGGTGCCAGGGACCTCTCACTCCCACGGTGCCTGTGCCCTGCCCCCACTGCACACACAGATGCTCGGGCATGTGACCCCCCATTTCAGAGACAGAGGCTCCCGTTTTATTTGGTGGGGAGGGGGTTTGGGTCCCACCTGACAGGCTCAGCGGCTGCTCCGGGCTCCAGGCGCGTGGGGTGGGTGACTGGCGACTTCCTGCAGGCAGACTGTGAGCAACGTTGGAGTTCACTCCTGCTACTTCCCTTCTTTTTCTTTTGTTTTTTGTTGGGGGGATGGGGTGGGGTCAGAGGTCAGAATCACACCTGTCGGTGCTCTGGGCTTGCTCCTGGCTCTGTGCTCAGGGATCTTGACACACACCCCACCTCTCCTGCCCGGTGTCCTGGATGACCAGCATAGAGCTGGCACCGCTCTGGCCTTCAGAACCCCCCTCCTCCGAACCCCTGCATGCTGACCTTCATGGCCGCCCGGCCCCGTCTGTGGGTTTCTGTCAGCCTGGAGTGGACATCCTGCCCTGCCCCTGGTTGCGGGCCAGCCGTGAGCTCGTGCCTTTTCCTTTTTCTGTCACTCTGATTCCTGCCCCTCTTTCCCAGATCGAGAACATGTTCAATGAAATCCGGTTCGGTGAGTATGTGGAGACGGGAAAGCTCATCGACAAGATCGACCTGCCCGACTTCCTCAGGCTCTACGTGAACCACAGACCCCCCTTCGGGAACACCTTCAGCGACATCCAGGCGAGCTTCAACACGCTGGGCCACACCAACGCCCAGGGCCAGAAGGCCATCCGCAGGGAGGACTTCCTGACGCTGCTGCTGACCAGAGGTGGGCTGCAGGGGGCACGGGGGCCAGGAGCCGAGGAGCCGAGGAACCCCGGGGTGTGCATCTGCCTGGCCCGCGCGGAATGCCTTGGCGCGCTCTTAATGCGTTATCAATTGATTTTGATGAAGGAACGCTTTCCTTTCCTTTCCTTTCCTTTCCTTTCCTTTCCTTTCCTTTCCTTTCCTTTCCTTTCTGATTTTGTAGTTAAGGCCCCGTAGTTTATAACGTTGGAGGGTCAAGTGTCACGGCACGGACCCCAGCACCAGGGCCACTGCCTCCTGGACAGGCACTTTGTCATTAAGTTTGGTGGCTGCATTCTGGGGCTCTGGTTTCGTGCCGGCTCAGTGGCAGACACCAGCCCCGGCCCTGCCCTCGGGGCTCGCATCCACCCACCTGCAGCCCCCCCTCAGTTCTACAGTCCAGTGCCTGCCACTCTGCAGACCCCAGGCCAGCGAGGCCTCCCTGACTCACTTCTCGCAACGTGCCCGTTTCCGCCGCATGATTTCACACTCCTTCCATGGCACATACGTCCTTCGTGATCCACTCCCCTGTGCCTTTTTGGAAAAATTCACTTTTACGATGCCTGGCCACGCTGTAGTGGGGAGAAACAAACGACAAAAGCTCACTTTTTTTTTTCTTTGTGGGTCACACCCGGCGATGCTCAGGGGTTACTTCTGGCTCTGCGCTCAGGAATTACTCCTTGGCGGTGCTCAGGGGACCATATGGGATGCTGGGAATCGAACCTGGGTCGACCGCGTGCAAGGCGAACGCCCTACCCGCTGTGCTATCGCTCCAGCTCCCCTAAAGCTCACTTTTATGATTCCATCGCCAGTACTTCTTGCCCTGTTTTGCTTTTGGTTGATGTGCTCTGACCCCTCCTTCCCGTCGTGACACGGCATGGGGGTGCCCGCGTGGGCTGCGGGGTCAGGCTCTGCCGCGCGTGTGCCCTGCCCGAAGCCCTAAGGACGGTTTCCGAGAGCACCAGAGGAGCGGGCAGTGGGGGCGGGGCCTCTAGGGTGGGGGCTTCTGGGCGCTGACCCCCCTACCCCCACAGGCGAGCACATGACGGAGGAGGAGCTCCGGGACTGTCTGACCACGCTCTGCGGTCTGAACCCCGAGGGCTGGAGGTCGGAGCCCCCCTCAGCCTCACTCGAAGGCTCTCAGGAAGGTGCGCCCGAAGGTGCCCCTGCCCACGCTCCAGGCCTCTGTCCAGCGTGTGGGGCCGGCTCGGGAAGGGACGCGGTTCAGGGGGTAGACCCTTGTCCAGGGACTTGAGCCCGTCCCCTCCCGGCTACCTGAGGGTCTCGCCTAGTAGCCCCCATGCATGCCCGCGTCCTGTGGACTCCCCCTATTTCCTGAGGTGCTCAGCAGTGCTGTAGGCGAGGGTGTCTGTGTCCCACCCCCCTCACCCGGAGCCTGCTGGGCCCCTCCCCCCCGCAGTTTCTGGGCCCCTCCCCCCCCACACACACAAGCCAGACCAGGGCCAGCACTGCCCTCGCTGTAGCTTCAGAGAACGTCCTGGGTTCGGAACAGGAATCGCTGCGAAGGCAGTTGTGTGTCTTTTCTTGTCGGGCCAGACTCAGAGTTCTGCTACAAGGACGAGCTTCCAGAGGAAATCACCGCCGAAATATTCACCACCGAGATTCTTGGCTTGACACTTCCCCAAGATGACATGTCACAGCAATGAGGTTGTGTGGAATATCTGAGGCACAAAGGACTCTGTGTGTGTGGACGTGTGTGCCTACATGTGTGTGCGTGTGTGTTTGTACGTGTGTGTGTGTGTGCATGGTGTGCTTCTCCCCCCCACCCCCACCCCCAGGCCGTGCGTTCCTTGCACTGCCCTGCCCTGCCCTATTCTGTCATCTCTAGCACGTGTGGGCATTAAATGCAAATTTCTGTTGAGTGGCGGGATTCTCAGAGTTGGACATTCCTGTTTCTGGAATAGGGAAGAGGCGAGGGTGGGGCCAGCACCCCATAGGAGCTGCTCTGCCTGCCTTTGTGCCCCACGGGGAGTAGTGGGGGCGGGGCGTGCATGGGACGGGGCGGGGGGGGGGGGCAGAGGGGGGCAGACCAGGGGGCCCCAAGGGCCTCAGCCCCACCCCCTGCTGTGGCTTCTTATCCTCCAGGCAGCTGTGAGCGGCCGTTGGGGCGGGTTTCCCTGCCCGCTGGAGCCCAGGGTCCCCCTGCACCTGGCCTGAGGCCCCCGTGAGCCCCCTCGGCCGGAGTTGTCTAGCCTCCATGACCGCCAACCCACACACCTGCCACCCCACCCCCTGTGTGGGGGAGTTGCCGCTTCACACTTGACTAGGCTCCCGAGCCAGCAGAGAGCCCGGCCAGCTCAGGGATGGGGACATTCCTGCCTCGCAGGGGGCTGCTGGGGAGTTTTCCAGCTGACATTTCCCGTGACAGGCAAGGGTGCCCGGCCCAGCAACCTCTCTTTACACAGAGCCGAGCTCAGAGTCCCCAAACCGGGCTGGGCCTGCAGTGTCCTACAATCTAGTTTGTATTCTTTCAAAAAACAGGGCGTGAGAGAGGCCTGGAGTGATAGTACAGTGGGCAGGGTGGTTTGCCTTGCACGCGGCCGACCTGGGTTCAACTCCCTCTCTCCCCCACCCCCAGCCCTGCCAGCAGAGGTTCCTGAATGCAGAGCCAGGAGTAACCCCTGAATATCGCTGGGGTTGGCCCCCAAACAGCAACAAAGTATGAAAGGAAAACAAGGTTTAGGAATCAAATTCGTAACTTTGGGGCCAAGGGCTCAGGAGATGTGTCACCAAGTCAGTTGATCAAGTTTCTGGGGACATTTTAGGGCAGAGAGAAAACTCACATGATTCGTCCTCTTAAAATCACTGGGGGGGGGGAGGGGAGACACACAGGGGGGAATTCAAGATCCTGCAGCACATGGACCCTGAGCACTGAGCTAGGAGCCCTGAGCACTGTCCCAGCAGCCGCAGTTCCTGGCCACTGGATCGGCCTCCTGGGGCTGCCCTGCTCCCATCGGCCCCACTGAGGCTCTCACTGACCGCAGCGTCGGGGAAACAAACACCTGTGCAGACTCACCAGAACGGGCCCCTCTGGGAGGAAGGGACTGAGGAAGACATGGCGGGAGGGCCGGGCCAGGCCGCCGGGACGGGGTCTGTGTGGGGCAGGATCTGCCCTGCAGTGGCTGCGTCCAGGTCCCCGCTGTCATCCCTGACACGCGTGTCCTATCGCTCAGCCAAAAGCAATAGTGGGAAAAATAGAAGAGGCCTGGGAGGGGGGCAGGGCAGGGCTGGGCCCTCGGCCTGCAGCTTCCAGGAGGGGCCACAGTGCCTAAGCAGCACCGAGTCCACGGAGCCGCTGCTCGAGGCTGCCGACTGTAGCCCCACGGCCCCTCCCCAAAGGAGAAGCAAACAAGCTGGGTTGATGCAACCTCCTCCGGTGGCAGTGCAACAGCCCATGGGGATGAGCGCGGGACGGCCACCAGCGGGGTCCCTGTGCTGCTCCCCCGGGCTGCCTGCTGGCCCCCCTGACACGCGTGGCTTGGGATCAGTGGCTCATCCCGCGGACAAAGCCGTTTCCTCGGGAAGGACGTCTTGTGCTGTGCCATCACCTGCATGCCCGCAGCCCTCAGGAAACTTGGGTCTCTTCTTTCTTTATTGTTTTTGCTTGGGGGTCACACCCTGCTGTGCTCAGGGACACTCCGCGGGGCTCGGGGGACCATCTGGGGTGCTGGGGATCAAGCCTGGGTTGACAAGGCAAGCGGCCTCCCTTCTGAGCTCTCTCCCTGGCCCGCCTGGATCTCTTCCCTCATCACTTGCCCTGAGTGTTGGGGCGTGCTCCTTGGAAAGGGGGACTTGGCTCCAAGCACATCAGCCTTTGCCTGCAACCCCCAGCCACGTCCAGGCCTGGCTGCCCAGTGGCTGCCAGCAGGCGAGCCCTGAGAGCCGCTGGCCGTGCCCAGTCCCCCCATACACGGAGGAAAGAGCCGACCTGAAGACTAGCAGACTGCTCGGGACCTGAGGACAACTGAAGCAGAGCAAGAGTTGCAGGTGACCCCCGAGCTGGGTGCGGCCACCGGCCTCTGCTCTTGGCAACCCGCACGCCCCAGGCCAGTGAAAATCAAAGGTGCCGTGACACAGACCACCGCCTGCTGCTAAAGTGCGACCAGCAGGGGGCTGGAGCGATAGCACAGCGGGGAGGGCATTTGCCTTGCACATGGCCGACCCAGGTTCGATTCCCTGCATCCCATAGGGTCCCCCGAGCACCGCCAGGAGTAATTCCTGAGTGCATGAGCCAGGAGGAACCCCTGTGCACCGCCAGGTGTGACCAAAAAAGCAAATAAATAAATAAATAAAAAACATAAAGCGAGACCAGTGGAAAATAGGAGAAAAATACTAAAGTGAGGCCGGTGTGGGTGGGTGGAGGAGCCGTCCCAGCCCCGTTGGTGGGTGCTACTAGCCCTGCTTTGAGCACGGGGCCTTTGTCTCATTCTGACCCCTTGCCGTCTCTTTTTCCCCGACTTCTGCATTTTAGTAATGTCCACTGATTTGTCTTTTATTTTGTACTCTCCACTCACCAATTTTATTTTCTCAAATGTACACAGAATTACAGTCCCCTAACGCTTGCCCATTCTTTTGGAGTTTTTTGGTTTTGCTTTGTTTTTTTTTTTTTTAATTTTTGCTTTTTGGGTCACACCCTGTGATGCTCAGGGGTTCCTCCAGGCTCTGCACTCAGGAATCACTCCTGGCGGTGCTCGGGGGGACCATACGGGATGCCGGGGATCGAACTTGGGTCCGCCACGTGCAAGGCAAAACGCCCTCCCCGCTGTACTATCGCTCCAGTCCAGCCACTCTGACTTGCTTCACATCATGTCATTCTCCCCAGCACTTTCCATTTTCACAGAGTTTGTGCCTCTCGAAGCAAGCCAGAATTCCATCGCACAGACTCTGCATCTCCTTTATCTGACTGTCTACCAGGGCGCCTCCTGGCTTCCAGGTGTCAGCTCTTGCAAAACCGCACAACAGCTAACATTGGGGTCAGTATGACTCTCTGTCCTCATCCTCATGCTTGTGTGCTCTCCCCCCCCCCTTTTCTTTTCTTTTTTGTGTCACACCCGGTGATGTTCAGAGGTTACTCCTGGCTTGGGGACCATATGGGATGCTGGGAATCGAACCTGGGTTGGCCCCGTGCAAGACAAGCGCCCTCCCCGCTGTGCTGTCGCTCCAGCCCCATCTCTCTCCCTGTCTCTCTGTCTCTGTCTCCCCCTCCCTCTCTCTCTCTCTCTCTCCCTCTCTCTTTCCCTCCCTCTCCCCCTCTACCTCTCTCTCTCCCTCCCTCTCTCTCTCCCTCTCTCTCTGTGTCTCTCCCGTCTCTCTGTCTGTGTTCCTCTCCCCCTCCCTCTCTCTCTCTTTCCCGCTTTCTCTCTCTCTCTCCCCCCTCCCCTTCCCTCTCTCTCCCCCCCCTTGTTTCTTGGGGCCACTCCTGGATCAGTGCTGGGGTGCCCAGGAAACTGGGTGGTGCCAGAGTCCATCCTCCGGATGACTTAGCCCGTCCCCATCACTCCGGCCCTGCTCCTGTCATCTTTGGATCGGGGACCCCCCCACAGCTGTCTTTAGCAGCTGCTGCTTTTTTTTTCTTCCGGTTTTGGTTTTGGTTCGGGGCCACAGCTGGCGGTGCTTGGAGGTCATTCCCAGGGGGACTCTGGGTACCCCACAGTGCTGGGCCCGACCTGGGCCTCCAGTATGCATGCACACGCCCCATCCCTTCGGGCCACCCTGATTGGGGTCACATCTCTTGTTGGTTTTCTAAAGAAACTCCCTAGTATCCCAACACGGCTGTGCCTGTACAGACCAGGGCGCCCCTTCTCCCCCACAGCCCCTGCAACACGTGTGACCAGGCAAAGTTTTGGTTTTAAAACAAACAAAAAAATCATTAGAAATTATATTGGGTTTGAATGAAATATGCTTTATTTTGGTAGAGCAAGCTCTTTTGTTTGTTTCTGTTTTTGTTTTGGGCGCCCCTCCCCCCCATGGTACTCAGGGCTCTGCACTCAGGACTTACTCGTGGGGACTCAGGGACCCCGTGGGATGTGGGAACCAGTCACATGCAGTGCCGATGCTCAGCCTTGAGCAAACCTTTGAACCTGGTGGTTTTCCCATCCATGTACATGGACCATCTCGCCACCTCCGCTGTGTCTTGTTCTATGTATTTTCACAGTTTTCATTATACAGGTCTTTCACCTCCTTTGTAAATTTATTCCTGGGTATTTAATGCTTTGGGATGCAGTTGTGAATGGAATTGCTGGCTTAATTTCTTCCTCTGGTTCATTATTTGCATATAGAAATGCAACAGATTTTTGTTGATTGGTATTGTAACCAGTCATTTTGTTGAACTCATTAATTGTCCCTAATAGCTTTTTAATGGAGTCTTCAGGGTTTTATATATATATGCATATACATCATATCTGCTAATAATTGTTTTGCTTTTTTCTCATCTAGGTTTCTTTGCTGTTGTTATTGCTCTTGTCTAATCGCTTTGGCTTTGAAGAACAGTTTGGGTTCTTTGTTTTTTTGGTTTTTGGGCTACACCCGCGGCACTCAAGGCCGACTCTGTGTTTAGGGATCACTCCTGGTGGACATGGCAGGGTGGGGCATGTGGGGACCTAGGGATCAAACTTGGGCTGTCCACATGCAGAGCAAATGCCCTGCC